GCTAGGCATTCTCTGCTTCCTGAAATAGTTTGGGGACATCAGAGAAGCGGGTGAATGTTCAGATCATGGAAGTACTGAAAATATATGTGAATTCAGAAGCAGGAAACAAAATACAGCCATTCCTGTGATCATCTCTCCTATTGCTCAGCGGTCCTAATAACCATGTCATGTGCAGGAATGAAATGTTAGGGAAGGGAAAAATCCAACTTTATAATTCTTGAATTCACTAACTCTTGAATCATTTAATCTTACAGGACACTGGTGAGAACATACACTTATATCTATTTCATAAGTTGGGCAGTCTGATACAGAAAATTAGATTAACTTGCCTATGCTCACATTATGTTTTTGCAGCACCAGGAAATAATTTTCTGGTATCCTGACTCTTGCAGCATTTATGGCTATGATTAAGAACATTTTTATGAGAGATTGTAATCAGGAGAAAGTGACAAGATGAGAATGTACCATTGTGTATGTGTGCTGTGCACGTGTGAGCAGATGTTCAGAGAGGAATATCTTCAGTTGTTATTGCTGACTCTGCTCATCATTTTCTGGTCTGTGTTGAGAAAATATTGTCTTATTTGAATGAGGCATATGATATCTTTTGGGAAAAAAAACAGTCACAACATGAGTCACACATCAGTGCTGTTCTTCAGTGAGAAGGAAGCAAGGTAATCTCTGGGCTAATCTCAACCCAAGCATGTTACTTCCCTCTTGGAATTTTAAGTGACCTCTAGGGCACCTTTAAGGTAGTTATCAGTGAGTACTTGGTAGGTGACAACTAAGGGGTGCCTTGTGAAGCAACAGCTTGAACTGCGGAAATTAAAGTGAGAGAGAGAGAGAGAGAGAAAGAGAGAGAGACTTTTTTCATGAAGGTGTGGGACTGAGCATCTTCCGTGAGCCCAGGTGTATCCCCAGCCCCAAAGCATCCACCATCTGTCGTTGGTTTCTGAGGTCCTCAGGAAACTAACCTGTGAAAAGCAAAACCAAATGATACGAGGCAGTGAGTAATGCTGAAGCAGTGCATCGTGAGCTGTGAATGCGTTCTGTGTACTGCCTTAGCAACTCTTGTTTGGAATGAAGAGGGAAATCTGTGGAAGAACTTCAGTGCAACTCATGCTGTGGGACAATTACCACTGAGGTATAAGACAACAGAATAAACAAAGCTGCAGTTGTGGTGGTTTTTTAACTAAAAGGCAGCAGCCTTGAGGGCCTCTTCCTCCCATGCGGTCTGTGAGCTCTCACAGCTCTCTGGCATTGCAGAGCACCTTGTCCTGGCACATGAAGCGAGAGACTCCTCCCGACTCTCAGGGGAGAGATGGTGAGCTCCTGCAGGGCTCTCAGGTTGCCTGCTGTCTTGTTAGTTTCTTGCTCCTAATTTTGCTGATATATACCTGGCTGTTGTAATTGCTGTTTGATAACAACATTTAATAAAGTTATCAAGTATAAAGTGATTAAAGGCAATTATTAAAACAAAGCCTGGCAAAACAACTCATTTGCCTTAAAGTGATAGAAAAGTCACAAACTCCAACCTTTAGGGAGAACCTTTGTCAGCTATTTCTAAAGTGCAAAACCAGACCTATCCTGAGAAAGCTCAAGGAATGCTTTATATCTGACTGTTGGCCTTTGAAGTCCCTTCTAATCCAACCCTAAATTCCTGGAACGTGTTCTTCAAAGAAACTGTAGTCTTCTCCAGTTTCATTTTCGAGTAGGATTGCAGGACAGTATTACTGCATTATTTTTTTTCATGTTTTTCCACTTTCAAATGTCACTTATTTGTGTTATTCCTGTGAAAGGTAAAGGAGAAATCCTGGATGTCTTTGTTAATTCAGTACCAACAGCTTCTGTGGAAATTTTCAACTCCTGGCTCTTGGTGACTACTCTCATGCTCTCATAAAACATATAAGTGTGGTCTGAATTGCCTGTTTTTATGGTCAGTATGTTGTGTAGCAGGAAAGGCTAATTTGTTGTTCTTATTAGCATTGGTTGCATATTCATGTAGGGTAATCTGTTCCAAAATTGAGAGGAATTACTGTATGTCCTGGAGCAGATTGATGAAAATATCAGAAACAGAGTTTAAAAAAAAAAATAAAATCATGCATGTTCTTTCTCAGTCTTGGTGGTAGCCTACATTTCTGGTAGCCATGTAGGTTATTTTGCACACAGTGTGTTTAGCTTTCTGCTGATGTCATCAGTGCTTTACTTCTTACTGCTGAGACTGTCTTTTCTGAGATCACTTTGTAATAAGTTCTGTTGAGAATTAATGTCTCATCTGTGGCAAATTATTTAGCCAAAACTTTTAGCATTACCACTGGATGAGTATTAGGACGACGCTGTGTTTACCTGGAAACATGTTTTGTCCGGGGGAAATACTGCAGTTTAATTAGTATATGTGATATATTCTTGGAGCTAGTGTTGTTAATGTCACTACAGCCTCTACTGGGCAGGGGAAATGCAGTGATGACTATCTGCAAGCTATAGTTCACAGAATAATTTGAAATGATTTTGGTACCATTTTATTTCATGTGACATACAGTTGCAGTTTCCTCAGCTGGCTCCATCCATGTCCAAGGAGCAGTGTTACTTCAGGATCTCAGCTAGAGTTGCCTGGGCATCCCCGCCAGCAGCCAACTGCTTAGTTCTCCCAGGCACTTAAGGGTTTGGGGTCTCTCCTCAAAATCTTTTTCTTTCAGAAATCTGCTGTCTCTAGAAATGACCTTTCTCCTTGCCTAGCATCAGTCTGTTAAGGGAAAAGGTGAATTGATGCACACATCTTTTGATTTGGAAAGGTTCCAGTGTTATGCTCGAAGCATCTCCAGCTGAAGAGCTCTCACAGGGAGTGGAAAGGAGCCTTTGCTAATAACCTGTTTGATTTTCAATTCCAAGAGGTGCAGCAGTTCCTGTAATGACCACTGCCTTGTTCAGCAAGAGCTGAGACAAGTTGGGAAGAAGCGAAGAGGAATTTTGCTTTCAACTTGGCTCTGCCTTCAGTGCATCCAACTGCCTCTTCTGCCTGAGGCCAAGAATGTTTTAAATTTACAGTTAGAAGATAAAATACAGAAAGCAGGAAGAAGAAATTTTGTTAACTGTCGAGACCCATGGCATTCAGAGTCTGTGGATCAATATGATTACATACAGTTTTTATTAATTACTAATCCCAAAAATGGGAACGTTTTTCTCCTTTCTCCAGTAAGGTCCCAGGTCCTACTGATGTCATCACTTTTAGATCTAATTCAAGTAACATTTGATCATAGAAAGAAGCTAAATCTAATCCAGTAGCAATGCAGGAAATGACTTTTCTCTATGCCATCCTGTGCATAACTGATTCTGTTACACATAACAAGACAGCTTCTGCTGTTGTTGTTGGTAACTGTAGTGACCTTTGAGGAGACTGGGATTTTACCTATTAATTTGCTACCGTTCTTTGGTAAACCAAGAGGGCCTTCTGACTTCTTAAAAAAACTTCACATATGCTTAACTTGGTATCTGCGTAGTTCAGCCCTTTTGTATTTGACTGAATGTTTTTGTCATGGACAAGAATTAATGACTAATACAGATTATTGAGCAATGCAGTCATATGATGAACCAAATTAGAGTAGGTGCAGAAAGGTGTACCTGCTGGGAAGAGATGTTGGAAAAGAAGGTAACATGAAATTAATTTTATGCATCCTTATTTGCAAGAAGTGTTTAGACTACCTGCTTATAATGGAAGCAGAAAATGGTGTATGCAGCCTTTGAGATGACTGCAGCCTCCTACACTAGCAGTGCTTGCTGACTAGTTTAAATGTGAATTTCCTTATAGATGAACTCTGTTGCAAGTCAGAGAAATCATACTGAGCACACCGTGGTTTTATGGTCTTGTCACAGACTGTACTTCTGGCCTCTGGAAAGCGCAGGCTGAGACTGGTTACTCATTAAGTTTACAAAAGCTCATATCTCCTGTCTAGTAAATCTTTTGGGAATAGTTTCCTGGGCTCCCACCCTAATTGCTGCAGAGATTCCAGGCAGATTCCGTCATCCTTGTTTTCTGCCTGACTGGGAATCTGAGAATAAAAGGGTTCATGGCGGAATAATGAGAGTGCTGGACAGTGCAATGCTCAGCAACTCTCCCCAGCATCATATGAGAGAGGAAGGGGAGGGGTAAGCAATAGAGATGATGATGGGAATAGAAGGGGCTGCCTAAATCCCTGAACACCCTCCCTCCCCCATCAATACTGCATCTTAAAAGAAGACTTAATATCACCAGTCTTCTGGTGGGAGGAATTAGGGGGAGGTCAGGGCAGGGGCAGGCTTTTGTAAACCAAAGTCTCCTATAAATCCCTTTCAGGCCCTAAAGCCGGATGCCTCTACATTCCCATACAAAGGCTGGGGAACTGATGGGGTACTGGGTTGATAGAAAACCACTGACACAGATTAACAACTGGGTGTGTAGAAGATGCATCAGAGCAAGGCAAATATAACCAGAACTGGGCTGGGGTAACCATGGTGTGAATGTGAGAATGGTTAAGGTCAGCTGAGAAGTGATGCTATGGTGTGTGATCCTGGCAAATCCTTAGAATGGAGAACAGCACCTTACAGCCTTTCTCAAAAACAGCACTGCAGTGAAGGCAGAGAGCTGTGGGCAGTCAGAGCAATGCGGGCTCCTGGCTGTTTGTTACCTGCCACTGTTACCTGTCGATGTGAGCTGTGGGGTTTCCCGGAGACTTCCTGTTGCTGGCTGACCCACAGTTATATACAGAACATAGCAAAAATGGTGAAGAGCTGTTTGTGCACTGGCATGTAAAAAGTAGGTTAAGTGCTAGTGCTGTGCTCTGATACCATCACTAGTGGACTAGCTCAGAGAAAAAACAAAAAGAATCCTTAGAAGCAGCAGCTGAGACATTAAGCATCAGTCAGTATCTTAAAACATACCTCTGAGATGTGTGTGGTGATTGGCAGAAGAGCTTTTATTTTCCTAAGCTACTTAATGCTAACTAACAATATGTCTGTTTTCTCAACAGGAACTTCGTACTCTGAAAATAATAGCAATTGTTCATCATCCCCATGTGAAAATGGTGGGAGCTGTACGGATTTGGAAGTGGGGTACCAGTGCATCTGTCCCATGCACCCCATAGCCTACATGGGCATAAACTGTGAACTCCTCTATGATGCATGCACCAAACACGATTGCCCTGCCCATATGACTTGCAACAATACTCCAGGACTTCCAGAATATGAATGCATCTGTATGCCTGGCTTTACAGGTATTGATTGTAGCATTAATATTAATGAGTGCGAGAGCAACCCTTGTAAAGATCCTCGTTTTGAATGTGTAGATAGTGTAAGTGGATACGCCTGTAAATGCCAAACAGGACTGAACGAGGGCTGCCAAAGCTCTGTGTGCTCTAACCACACCTGCCTAAATAACGGGACGTGTGTCGAGGGTCCTGGGGACTCTGCTTGCATCTGCCAACCTGGCTTCACTGGGACCCACTGCAAAGACAACATTGATGAGTGCGCTTCCAACCCGTGCCAGAACGGAGCCATCTGCCGAGACAGGGTGAATGAGTATAGCTGTTTCTGTGTGCCTGGGTTCCAAGGATACAACTGTGAAATAGACATCAACGAGTGTGCATCCCGGCCCTGTAAAAACAATGGCACCTGCCTGAATGAGATGGATCGCTATCTGTGCAAGTGCATCCCCGGCTACACAGGTACCCTTTCGTGCTCATACACTACAATGTTGGTTGGATTACATCTTGCTATTCATGTTGTTCCACAATGTGTCTCGCTGCTGACAAGTTTAGTGGTGTTAGTAGCTGCCATGAGAAGTTGTTGTTTTACAGCTGTGAGACTAAATGCCTAAACTCAGAGTGTCTGGTTCCATGCTGGAATAATTTAGTGTTTGTGGCTTCCAAGAAATAGTTGAGGCTGATTTCCATGGATGGTACAGATGCTGAGAGGCGTTATCTAAGAATGAATGTGGGGGCACTATCTGAGGCTAGGAGCACTGGATATCATGTAGGTGTGATTAGCCTCACTATTAACAACAGGAGGTACACAAGAAAAGAGATTTAGTATCAGGAGGAGTACAGTTAGTGTTTTCAAGTATAACTGTTTAGCTGGTTTGTAGTTCTTTGTCCTGTCTTGCAGGATTTGTCTGAGGGGAGTAATCTTTAGAATAAAGTGGCTTTCATTTAGACACTTCTTTTTCAGTTCTTTGTCTGGAGAATGTTTCTTGGCATATGACTTAAGTATCCCTTTTATGTGCATCTGTTCTATTGATGACTCAGAGTAATCTACACCTGTGAGTTATCTGTGAAGCAGGCAGTGGGAGGTTCTCCTCCTAGCCCTGCTATCAGAGTGGAATGCGGTTGTACTGTGCCCATTTCTGCCTGGTACCACTTAGCACATGAACTTTCTCAGCCTTCCTCATTGTCACAGATTGAAGTGTTTCAAGAGTTAGGTTGCTGTGAAGGAATGCTGCTGATTACCAGTGGAATGCAACATCAGGAATGTGCCTGATGCTGAGTCACTCTGATAAAAACGAACAGAGACTTGGGAGGAAAAGAGCAGAATTTCTCTGTAGGCCTTAAGGTTGGCACTGATTTGGGGTATCAAACATAATTTTGTGAATCAGTTTCCTTTGACTCTTTTCTTGAATCGTCTATTAAGGATTATGGGATTCCCCTGATAAGGAGGTGATAAAATAACCCAAGCAGCAGGAGGAGTTTGTACTCCAAGTTATTCTGATGTTGATATGAGCTTTATGTTCTAGTACTTCATCCCAACCTCAGAGGTTCTAGCACCACTGGTTGCTGAGGCAGGTTGTTTCCTGGGGCTTTCATCTGGAATTTGGGTGAAGGGAGTTTTGCATGGGTATTGACAGGTTTGAATCAGCAGATTAGGGGGCCCACATTCCTGAGGATTAGGATGGCCACTCCAGTAGTCCTGAGCCTTTAACAAGAAGCAGAGCTTAGATGGATTGGCAGGTTAGTCACTGCAGTGACTAACACGTGGAGATGATGTCAGGTCATAGACAGTTTCAACTGGTGGAATGTAGTATGGCAAGATAGTTGCATAGGAGTTTTTAGTGAAAGCTGAGACTTTGGACCAAAAATGCCTGATTTCTTTTTGCTTTTGATTATTAATACATAGAGCTAATGCCTAAATTTTAGTAACATTTCATAATACAGTGACTTACTAATATATAGTATCACTGTAATTAGCATTTCGCATTGCCTTAATGCCTTTTTTTCTAGGTATCTCAAAGCAAGTTACAAATATTATTTAAACAAATGGATCAATGTCTTGGGGAGCCAGGTAGTGATTACTTTTTCCTTTCCCAAAAGGCAACTGCCTTTGACGTAGAACATTGGACCTGGTTAAGGCAAAACTCCCTTCACCATAGCAGCACAACGCTAGTGAAGAGTACTGTGTCTAACTTAAACTGTAAGAGCTATATAATATATGAAAGTTTGAATAACCCTAACTAGCAGTGTGTCTCTTCTCTTCTCATCCCTGTCCTTCCACCCTGAACAGATTCCCAGTCAGAACAGCTCTTAGAGTTTTAAGGTGTGCATGTAAGTCAGATCAGCATGGTTTACACAGAAATTGAATGTCATTTGTGAAGTGCTGTCCAGCTGGTTGCTTCAGCAAACCCGAATGAGAGAAACTAAAGCTTTGTAAATTCTGGAAACTGCTTCTAGTTTTGTTATAAGACTAACATCCGGAAGCCTGAAGAAAACAATTCCATTTTTCAGTAATAGTGGAAGGCCCTTAATCTCTAAGAATTGCACACTGTTCATAAGCTCTGTGTTTTTACAGCAAAATGAGGAAAGATCACTGTGCTGGCCAGTTGGATTTGATAACATGGCTTTTGCAATTCCAGCTCAGAAATGCAAGCAGTGCAGACTTTGATGGATTTTTAACATGAATATTTCTCTCTTTTCTAACAAGGAATAAACTGTGAAGCTGAAATAGATGAATGTGATTCATACCCTTGTCAGAATGGGGCCTTGTGCAGCGATCACATTGGGTTCTACACCTGCACCTGTATGCCAGGTTACCAAGGAGTCCAGTGTGAGGTGGACATCAATGAATGTATAAGCCAGCCATGCCAGCACAATGGGACATGTCATGACCTCATTAACAGGTGAGAAATCAGTATTTGTGCAATTAGATACCAGTACTGATGTAATGTTCTTCTTTAGAAATCCATGGAGAGAATTGGATTTAGTGTTTTGTACATCCCAGTGGTAGTAACTGAAGGAGTGATTAATGGCAGCATGTGAGAGGGGCTGTTCCAGTAGCAGAACTCCTCGGAGGCTTAAAAAAAGGTTCCTGTTTTTGCTTCTGTCTGACATATCAGATGCAAAGGGAAGTGATTTGCAGATCATGATCAGCACAAGCAGCTGGTGAGAATGTACCTGTGTCAGTGTGCCTTTCACAGGCATACTGTAGGTTTAGAGATTGCTGAGGTTGATCTGCTCTCTCATTAGTGTGGCCTGTTTGCTCAGAGGGACCTGTCTTTTTCCTCTGCCCACAAATGCACATGAAGGCTAACTCCAGCAGCTGTTTGCTCTTTCTTCACATGAGCTCAACAATGAAATCAGGACCTTCTGCATCACTCTGTTTTGTTGCCCACAGTTACCAATGTGACTGCAGTGACACAGGCTTTGAAGGGGACCACTGTGAATTGGATATCCTGGAGTGTGCCTCTGAGCCCTGTCTGAACAATGCCACGTGTGTTGAAGGAATCAAGAACTACAGCTGTGCCTGCTGGACAGGTAAGTTTGAAATCTATTTCATATATCAGCCCCTAATCATACTGCAACAGAGAGCATGTGCTCAGTTGCCCTGTTGAAGCAGTAAGGATTTAACAACCATACAACATGATCCAGTGTGAAGTTTTGTTATCCAAAACAATGAGGCTACCACTGCATCTCCCTTTACTGATCATCCAGGATCAGATGAACCTCTTCGTTGGGAAATGCACCCTGATCTTCAACTATAAAATTTCCTTTCTCTTCTTTTCTGCCTTTTTCCTGTGTGTGTTTTTCTATCACAAAGTAATGGTTTCTTGCAAATTGTTTATCTGGCTCCCTCCTTTGTCGTGCTGGAGAAACTGGAGGACTCTGGGACTCCTTACTCAATGAGTTGCAATGTCTTTTGGTTCCTATTCTCATCCTCAAGATGAGAAGCCACAATACTTGGGTGACTAGTTGTAGTGCAGTTGTGTGTGATCCTTACACAGATGTCTCCTGGCAGGTTACACAGGGCAGCGTTGTGAAGAGGATGTGAACGAGTGTGCAACAGATCCCTGTCACAACGGAGGTGTGTGCTTTGAGCGATCCAACCAGTCCTATTATGGCTCACAGCCTGACTTCCCCAATGATTTCAGCTACAGCCAAGCAGCTGGTTTCCTCTGTTGGTGTCAGCCAGGCTTTGCAGGTAGGCTTTGTGGTAAATGTTGCCTTCTTTCTGCTACAGATGGACTGTATTTGAGTAGATAGGAATGATGGGTGAAATGGGTGAAATACCACCCACCCCTTCCCCTGGTTTATATAAATATCTATAAAAGCATGGATTTAAGAGCTGGGGAAAATACTTGGAAGGAGAGGCTAACAATACTACTTTATTGTGGGGTTGCTTTTTGTGTTTTGTTTTTTTTAATAAGAAGATGAGAGTTTGGTCCACTGTTGTGCAGAAGTTCTGATTCTGCGCCAGTTCCCTTTCCTGACACAGGCAAATCATTAAGCTTTCCTTGCTTCATTTTGCATAATTGTTTCAATTATAGAATCTATTTGTCAGAGTGTTAAAAGAGACACGCACAGTTTACAGAATTCTTCTGCATTTTTAGAAGACAGTAAAGAATGGCAAAACATCATGAATGCAGTTTGTATCCTTCACTGATGCATGCATGCACTAACCTTGGCGATTTGTATTTTCCCTTCAAAGGGGAGACCTGCTTTACTAACATTGATGAGTGCGAGTCCCAGCCGTGTCAGAATGGCGGTCACTGCGTGGACCTTGTTGATGGCTTTCTTTGTCATTGTTTACCAGGTTATTCAGGTAAGGTTGGTGAAAGTGGGTGGCTGGAATCAAGTCAGTCTGGCTAACTAATGCAGAGTTGCTGTGTTACTGTTTGGCTGCAGGACTGGATTCCAGTACTGAGTGTCCCAGGCTTCTAGGAAGGACTGAGAGAAACTGTGGGGAGCTCAGTAGCTTTGAAGGGGGATTTCTGTCAGTGCTCAAAAAAACTACATGACTATGATCAAGCAAGTTGATAGATTCTAAGGTAGAATTTGAAACAGACAGCTATATAGAAAAGTCTATAAAGAGCAGACTGTCTGGGGATCTGCATCCTGGAGTGAAAGCTCTCTGGGAGAACAGTGTTTTTTATATATGAGCTGTGAAAATGAACAAAAAACATTCAAATAAAACATAACAGAATACATTTTAAAAGGTGCATAATGCTTTGAATGTCACAAGCTGCTGATTGTAGCAGATTGGATCGTCAGCACATAAAACATCTGTAAAACATCTCTCATCCCTAACACCCCTGGATGATAAGAGCCAGAGATTTTTGGCTGAAGGCAGTAATTTGCCATGTTAGGAGGTCAAAAGGTCTTTGTGATGTGAGCAAATGCAGCCTTCTCTGTTTACAAGGGAGCAGGCAGTTTAGATTCTTACACAAATGCCCTGCCTGACCCTATTGGGTCTCAGTTTTCTGGCTGAGAAACTAGGGGATAGTGAGTACACAGCTCTGTTGGGAGGGTGCACTGCTGACTGATGCTAACTCTTAAATCAGTTTAGAATATTGATGTATTTCTGCATCTTTAATTCTGTATGTACTCTGTTTTGAACAATCTGCACCAAAAAGTAGCTTGTAAGAAAGACGGTCCCCAGCACAATCTAATATTCATGTATTTTTGAGGTGGATATAACCATTCTGCAGTGTTCCTAGGCTGCCATCTCGTGGGAAAAAGAAAAACTTGAAGCCAGTATAAAACTGTCTTTTGATTTCTTGGAACAGCAGGTAGCAGCATTCCAGAGTCTTAGGTCTGTATTATGTGAGGAAGTTTTGTTTTCCCTCATAATGGTTGAGCAAAGTTGTAGCAAGTCTGCCCAACTTTTCCCTGGGAAGACTCATTATCACAGGTACTTTCACACCCAGAATCTCATGTCGACTCCTAGTTAACGCATTCTGTGTTAACTAGGTGTAGCTAGTTTGCTTTGGATTCCTAATTTAGGCTAGGTAAAGAAAAAATTGCTTTTGTAGCTGTGGCCTTTGAAAATAGGCTCTTATTGAATTTTTTTTAATGGCACTTTTTCATTAGTTACAGTGCTGCACTCATGAACGAAGATATTGTCTAAAGAGATGGTTTAAGGTTTACCCTGCGTCTCATAATTCCCACTCACATGCATGCCCTATTCTCTTTTCCTCCTTCATTGCCTCTGCACCCCTCACAGAGTTCAGAATTTCATTTTGCTCTGCCACACTGCAGATCTGTTTAATCCTTTCCAGTTCTTAGTGTGCTTATGGGTAGAAAAGCTGACAGGAACACAGGATGATGGGCAGAGTGCTAGAGTTCATTCTGTTGCATCAAATCTGGGTTCATTAGTACTTGAAGGGGATTAGAAGCAAGTTGCTCTTCTGGATATTGCTTTTGGTAAAGGACTTTGTTTCATCTGAGGTAGTTCTGACACATTAACACAGTGAAAGGCTGTGAGCAGTCTCTGAGATCAGTGAGTGCATGTGGAGGAGTGAAGCTGACAGGGAAATAACAGCAATTAATCTCCCCTCCTTTGTCAATTAATCCCAGTACAGTCATGCTGGGTAAACAGCTTATTACTTCATATTAGGATCACAGAACAACTTTGTGAAGCTTCCCATAATGTTTCTGCTCAAAACACATTTCTGTGGCAGCTTAGATCTACCATGAACTTGGGTTTAAGCTGCCTCCGCTGATTAAAGTGAACTTGCTACTCTGAAGAATGCTTTCTTGGGGCGGCAGGGGGTTCTTTCAGTATTTTTTTTTCTTCAGTCTGAGGAATTTAGGGGGGTGCTGGGATAACAATGTGAGTAAGGAGAAATTCGTTCTTTGCAAATTAACTGCCTCTGTGCTGTCTCAGGCTGTAGGGTTGCAGGGAGGTGAGCCGCTCTGCCCTTGAAAGTAGTAGTCAGAAAAGCAGTGCCTTTTTTCAAGGAGAACTACATAATAGGTCCTGAGAGTCAGTCCAGTGCACTAGTTTGTTCGTTAGCAGAGGATGTGACCTGAGAGGATATAAGAAGTGTAAATTGCATGGATACTAAATGAGGTAAGGAGGAGAATGAGTCTTGTGTAGTCTTGGAATTATGTCAACTGTGGTCAAGAGAAAAAGCATATTAGGAAAAGTCAATCTTTAGTAAAAAAGCCAAAATGAATTATTTATTCATAGGAATGATTTCAATTCATCTTGTATACAGTGATCCATGGGTTAGGCCAGGACATTTAAAAAAAAAAAAAAAAAAACCAAAAACGACTGGTGCCTCTGTTTGAAATGAGAACTGACTTTTAACCTGCAAGTATGTAATGCAAGTGGAATTTGACTAATTTGTCCTTTGAAAAGTTTTGAATGACTTGAGCACTCCTACTCATATTTCTGCTTAAAGTTAACATTTTCTGCCATTTTTTCGGTTGTGAAGCTTCTGACATATTCAGTGTTGGTTTTTTATCCTGACCTCCCTCAAGAAGCTTTACAAACGATTGGGAGCAAATCATGACCAAATCTTGTAACTTGCACGGCTGCCAGCGTGTAAGAATGGGGAATTAAAACCTCTAGAAAGTGAATCGTCTGATCATTTTCTGTTTCTTTAGAATCCTTCAAAGGGTATCATAAGCTGGTTTGGAAGATAGCTTTTACAAGTATTTTATCTCAAACATACGTGTACTACCTAGAATTTGCACGACTGTATTTTCCCACCATCGTTGTCTGTCTCTGAGAACACTAGACACTCTAAGTGTATCCTTAAATTGATCCTGGGAAAAGAAGCAACTGCAGTTTCTAACAACATAATGAATTTGGAAAGGTGTAGAGGATCAGGATCTGTGCTGATTTATGCTATATGCTTTGAATTCAATATCTGTATTTCTAATCAGAAGCATACAGAGACTCTGTACATGTGTGTAAATACATACCCACGTGTGTATGTAAATAAAAATTAGATCTCCCTGAAAGGAACTAATGTTCTCCAGTCTTCACAGTTGTTATATTGTTGCAGTAGACAGTTGAATGAACACAAACCACTTGTCTGCATTTGAACAGGAACAGCATGGTCACCCTAGCTGCTATAGATAGCACTGAAAATCTGTGTGAGGATAGGACTATGCCTACACAGCCCAGATGTGACTATCTGGAAGTTTTGATTTCAAACATACTCACCCTGGTACGTGGTATGTTGACTGGTGTGTTTGGACTGAATTAGCTCAGATGAAAGTAAACAAACTGCAAGAGTTCTTGGAGTGCTTGCTTTAAATATCTTGAAGTCATACTGCTAATGCAGCTCCCATACTCTTATTTCTGAGAGTTTTTGTTTGCTGGGTAAGCTTCTCAGGCTTCCTCACACCATGGAAGTACAAGCCTTCCTCCAGAAACATTACCATTTGAAAGTAGCCACACTTTTTCTGAAACCAGATCATCAGAGAGAAGTGAAATTGCAACAGCTAATTTTGTAAGATTGCTAATGGAGAAAGGGAACTTTGATTCTGCAGTCCCATGGTTGAACTGGTGCAGCCAGCACAGAGCAGGCTGTTTCCTTCCATTCAGTTAGATCACATAAATGGGTTGTGGTAGTTAAAAATTGAGAACTTTCTTTGTGAATGCTGCACAGGGGAAATGCTTGTGCACACAAATGCACGGAGTGGGGCAGATGGAGGAAGGAGGCTGTGTGAAGTGCTGGTCACAGTGCTGAATGTACAGCAGGGCTGGGGCTGTGCTCTGCATTTGGAACTCTCCTTATTCATATGCTTTGGTGGTGGAAATATGGTTTTTTGTCTTAGCCTGTTTCTTACAACAAAATTTTTTTACAACAAAATAGGGAAGAATCCGCATTTTGTTCTTATTTCATGGAACGTGGCACGTTCACCTGGGAGGTGCAAGGGCGAGAGGCTGTCTCTTGACTTTCTGCTGCTGGAGTTAATGCTGTGGATACCGCAGGGTATTACTGTAATGCACTGGGGGAGAGCACTGCAAGTACGCATTCTTCGTGTCAGCACTGACAGAGGCCAGCTGGGGAGGTTTAGAGCAGGGCTGGATTAGATCTCACTGCAGCGCAGGTCTCTGCTATATTGGTTAGTTCCATCTCCAATCCCTTTTTGTCTGACTGGCGTCAGGGAGCGCTTACACACATTCTGCCAGTTCATTTCAGCCTTTCTGCCCTTCCCCACCCCCACTCACCCCCACTTTTTTTCCTTTACTGTCACAAATGTCCACAAGGAGTCGGCCATGAAATCTGTGCTGATTGGCGTGATCCTGAAGGGAATTTTTCTGCTAGCAGGTAATGAGATCTATACAGTAATTGCAATGTGTCCTGAATGTTTGCGTGCCTGCTCAGGGCAGGGAGCTGGCTGTGCGATTAATGGTAGCTGGAGGCATAAGAAGGACGAGAATTCACTAGAAAGGAAGAATGTTTTTATTTTGAAGAGACCTAAAGTTTTGTTTTGGAAACTTCAGGGCCAGGAATTTGCTAGTTGCCTCCAGATAAACGTGGAGCAGTCAGTGCACTCCGTGTGCATCTTTGCTGCAGTTCTGCCTTGCTCTGAAAGCTGTCCGCAGAAATCCAACCTGGGGTGTAGCTCTGAGGCGCAGGTCCTTCTGTACACAGGTGTACTTTGTAAGCATGTCAGTGTCTCCTGTTAGTTCTGTGAAGCATTAGATTTCTTTTGATGGCATCTTTTTGCTATTTTTCTTTTTGCTTTAATGATTTGAAACTCCTTTATCAAGAAGTAAATTTTTTTAGCTCAGGGGACAAACCCTTAGCTGGCCTGTGCACTTCTGCGTCTCCTCCCCCACATCTCCTTGAGGAGTAGTGCACGGTGGGAGAGAGGTCAACGCAGTGTGTTGCCATGGAAATGGCAGTAATTGTGCAAATATAATTGTGGCCGGGTCTGTTTGTTGCTGCTAATTCTCTCTCTCTCTCCCCCCATCTCTCCCTTCGCCTCCCTTCCTCCCCCCCATTTTTCTTTTGGTAATAATACAAATCCTAATTAGGATGCACCAGGGAAAGGTTGCTAGGAATTCAGCTGTCTTAAGGGGAAAGGACGACCTGCGTTGGCTGGGAAGCCCCACTGAACTGGCATGTTTCAAGAAAAGAGAGCATGAATAGATCTCATCCTTCAAGGTTTTTTGGCATGTGACAGCTAAATTAGAATCTTTTTCTTTATATATGTTTTTTCTTTTAATATATGTTTTCTTATAGTACAATGAATCTTTGCTTATTAATAGCAGCTAGAAATCATTAGTTTCATTCAGAGAAGCTGAATGTATGGATTTGCATAATGCAGCTATGAAACAAGACTGTCCTTACCACATCAGTAATACTTCAGAATTTAGTGAATTTCTGTTTGAAAACGATGCAGACTGTTACAGCTTAGCAACTTCTGACTGTATGTTCCTGACGCTGTGTTACTGGGACTGTGCACTGGACACTGCTGAAATATCTGGAATCACAGAGACGCTTGGATTAGAAGGGAATGTTTGAAAATAACTGTCCTCGGATAGCAGCCTTTTAAATAATACTTTAATTATTTTTTTTTTAGATAATTCTATTGATTTGCGTTTCTTAGTCTTTAACTATATGAGAAACTCAGTACACATTTTAAAATCTAATAATGTAATGAATCATGTTGATTATTCAAACAATGTTGCCAACAGTAAGAACAGAAGTAAATGTTTGAGTTTAGAAATCTAGAGGGTGCAGAGGAGACTCAGTAAGAGTTACTACTTTTAAATGGATACCTAGAAAAGGATGCCTAGGCTATTCTTAGAGAAGCAAATTAGTTTTTAGATTCTTTTGAATTATAGAACAGTGGATATCATGAAACGATCTGCACTTCTGGGTACTGCAGTGGCCGAAACCAAAAATCTTATTTTTTCTGAAGACAAACTTTTTTACTTTCCTGAAATCTCTAGCTTTGTTTACACTCTGTGATCTGCAGCCAAACCCCAAATAACATACTTCTCTGCTGAGCTAAAATTAGCATCTGGGAAGCAGTATTCAATAGAAATCTCCTATTTTATTTTGGCGTAAGTAAGAATTTGGCAAATGGAAGATGTTCATAGTTGACAAAAATCATTGGTGATAATGAAGGAGAGAGGGAGGCCAGCTGCTTGATGAAGGGTGTGATTATTGCAAGCTGTATAAGGAGCAGTGATGTAGAACAGGGCTAACTGCTAAGCAAAGGGTCACACTGGCTGAAAAAAGATTTTTACAACTCTGGCACAGTTACCAGTTCTAAAAACTGCTTCAGACTCAAATCTGATACTGCACTGGCTTCTAGGAGGGTAGGGATACCTCTTGTTCTTTTAGAGATCTTTTCTTTCTGCCTTAGCCATGTGAAGGCTGGTTGTTTGCTGGCCGAAACAATGAGGGCAATAGAAAGCTTGTTTTTAATTCCTCTAGGAAGAACTGCCTGCTCCTGCTGCTGAGTGTTTGCTTGTGAGGTTAGACAGCAGCATATAAAGACTTGAAGTTGCCAGCTCATTCTTTTTCACCCATTTTAAATAAATGATATAGAAATCACACCAGCTGTGTCCCATGGGAAAGCTTGGTGTTTAATTAGCCACCAGCCTGGGGTTGTGCACTCACCACAGGGACTAATTTGCCACCTGGTGTGAAGCACTCACCCACAGGTGTCAGCTGGGAGCTGGGAAACAGCAGCACAGGCAGGTGTTCCTGCTGCTGCTCCTAGCGAGAGTGCTGGCCAGAGGGGAAGTGTGCAGGATAGGAGGGAGAGAAAGATAGGAAAATGGGGCTCTTGTTTGGTGCTGGCCCAGCCAGACATCTTAGAAACAAATTCATGACCTGTCTCCATTTGTTATTCAGAACAATGCTAATTTCTCCTTGTTGCCCTAGTAAATAAATGTGACTGCTCTGATCTCAAAGGGGATGGCATCTCAAACACTTGGGACTATGCTGACCCTACATATCTTTCCATTCAGTGGCCTCTCCCCTGAACTCCTACTGTAAACCTGCCCCTTACTGTTCTGAAAGCCCTTCAATCCACTGATAGTCAGAAAACCCATTCCAGTGTTTTCTTAATTCTTCCCTTCCCATCTTCTCCCACACTGGGGTTCTCCAGGCCTGCAGACGCCTATTATGCTTTATTTATTCCAGCACTTTTCTTTCAAGTGATCAGAGCTTTGTGCCAAAATCTCATTTCTGCCCTTGCTTCTTCCATTTCCTTAACTTACAATCATGCCCCAAGTCTGTGTGCTGAGCAGTAATTGCTGGAGGAAAAAAGGAAGGGCTGAGGTAGTATTAGCAATTCTGAATCTGTCCATCAGCTGGGCTTTTCTTCAAGGCAGACATTACTGGCCAAATTCAGTGCTTTTCTAGAGGCACTACACAGAACAGTTCTCCTTTAATATAAGAAAAGTATAGCTGTGTCCTAGAGGGATCTGAGATAATGTTGCTGGCAGAGCAGCCCTAGCACAGCTGAAAAGAGCAGAATTACCAGAACCTCCTGATTCTGTTTCAGCGCTTCTAAGAGCACATATGTGTTATGGTCTTATGTTGGAACTGGAAGATGGTGTTGAGTCTTCACATATCTGCAGATAGCACTGTCAACAGCAGGTAAATGCTTGGTCTCAAAAGAGTAAAGTAACTTGGTTAGACAGCAGTACCAGATGTTTGTGCAAGACTGGCTGAGAGGCATTGCTGGAATGTGAGGCAGTTCACAACATCAGCACACGAATTCAAGAAGCTTCATATCTTTGTTAATTTTTTTTTTTTATCATGCCATCAAGTCCAGTTCCAGTACTCCTAAGGCACCATCTCCCCTCATCCCTTTTTCCCTCAGGCAACTCTCTAATCTCTTTGACATGCCTATTCTGTCTAGTGGCTTTTCTTTACAAATGTCTTTTGTGTTTTGATTCCCCTCCTTTGTGTGTGAATTCCTTCTTTTTCTTTCTGCTGTCCTCGTTGTGCTTGCTAGGTAGATTCTGCCTGTAATGCTATTAGATCAGGATAATCCATGCTTGGCTTATCTGTGCAACTGTCTCTGAAGATTAGTGAAAACCAATGTTATGGGCTAGATAAACAGTGAACTGGTTCAGGAGGGCTCTAATGTCAGTCTGAAGATGCTCAGGAAAATGACAGCTGATTTTCATTAACTACATTTGAGTGTAATGGTCTGTAATTTCATTGAGCCCTGTTGGGATGCATGTGCCTCGAGCAGATACACTAACTGCCACACAGTGCTCTTCACCCAGTTCACTTCTGCAGGACTGGAAAGAACTTAAATCAGCTTGGTGCAAGTATGTTAAAATACCTGTGGAGCATGTATTGCTTCTTGTTTCATAATAAACTGGGTTTTGTGAATGTTTTACAACAAGGGGGTTGTCTGATATTGTTTTCCAAACTATGGAATTTTAATTTTCTTAACTGTGGCTTTCCAATAACTTCCTGGCTGGTGATCTAGTTAGATGCCCCAACAGTGGTGCTTGGAACATGCTCCAGTCAGATGTATAGACTTGAGTTTAAATGCACCAAATCTATGTATGGAAGATGCATAAAATCCCTATCTGGGCTGTCTTGTCCCTTTAATATCCTCTGCTTGCTCTCCCTGCATGCTTATTAGCTGTGTTGTCTGAGATTGCCTGGGAGAGGACAGAGGAGTCTGCTGGATGACACAGTCTGGCTGGCTGAAGCTCTACAAACAGCACTCTTTGCAGCATCTGGACAGACTGCACAGAATTATCTTTTGTTGCTCTTATGTTAGTGGTAGGCCACTGTGTGGTGAGTGCAGCGCTTCTTGCTGGCAGCTCTTGGGCTTCCTGTGCGTTCCTGAAGAGAATGGCTTAGAGAGCAGCAGTGCTGGGGAGGTCACTGTGCCTCGCAGCCTGGCTCTGGGGAAGGGAATTGCAATCCCCTGCAATGAGATCCCATTTCTAAATCTCTTTCGCAGGTGTGGAATGTGCTGTTAACATCAATGAGTGTGAGGAGGGTCCCTGCAAGAATGGAGCTATCTGTGAGGATGGCATTGCTGACTATACCTGCCACTGTGCCCCTAGCCAGGATGGCATTGTCTGGGGAGGGAAGAACTGCTCTGTCAAGCTCACTGGGTGCCAGACACATGACTGCCAAAATGAGGCCTTGTGTATCCCGACTTACCAAGCTGAGAGCCACGGCCACCTGTGCCAGTGCCAGCCTGGTTTCTATGATGCCACATGCTCAACACCAACAACATTTTCCTTTGCTTCCAGAGGGTATCTCCTCATTGAGCTGCCCGTGAACAATCAGAGCAGGAGGGAGGTAGCAGGAGAGCAGCTTGCCAGTGTGTCCCTCCGGTTCCGAACCACCTTGCCCAGCGCCATCCTTTTTTACCGAGGCCGTGAAGCTGAATACTTGTTCCTGGAGCTCTTTGATGGCATTCTGCATGCTCAACTGAAGAGGCAGGATGAGTACCTGCTGCAGCTGGAGGGGCTGAGAGTTGATGATGGCCGCTGGCATAAAGTTGAAGTTGTTCTGCAGAACACTGTGCAGCTCAAACTCTGGCACGACTCCTGTGATGCAGGTATCTGCGTGCAGAGCTCTCTTGTCCCAGACAACGCTACTCCGGTCCCACACGCCTTCCTGAGCATGTATGTTGGAGGTGCTGAGGATCCACTGGCCAACAACACGCAGAGTCAGCAGGGCTTTGTTGGCTGCCTGGAAGACTTGCAGGTGGATGCTGAAGCCGTGCTCCCGGTGGCTCTCCCTGTGAGCGGCGTTTCCCCTGTGACGCAGGGTTGTGACCGCACTGAGTGGTGCCTCTCCAAGCCCTGCTTTCATGGCGGGCTGTGTGTGGACCTTTGGACAACGTTCAGGTGTGACTGTTTGAGGCCATATGGAGGCCCTGCTTGCTCATATGGTAAGTGCTATGTGATTTACATCTGCCAACTCCTTTGTCAATGCTTCAAGGATACTACATTCAGTACCTCTAGAAGAAATATTTTCTATTTGACCAGAGAGAAGAATAAAGCAAAACTCTCTATAAAGAAAACTCTTATTGATTCCCTGTCACTCACTCCTGCAGAAATGATAACCAGATTTGTGGTGCAGATGTTACTCCTTGTTGAACCAGAGACTCTGACTCTGTATCAGATCTGAGTAACTGTAGGAGAGTAGGGAAGTTGTTTCACTGTAAGAAGCTGAGCTTGAGCTTCCAGTGAATGGGAATGTATTGCTTTATAAACAAAATAGAAAGTGTTAAAGTTGGCATTTCTGAGCTAAAATTATACTTATTTGCCTTTTTTATTCCCATAAGATTTATATTGTCCTTTTTTTTTTTTTTTTAATAAAGTTGCTTTGCTGTTGCCTTGTCAGAGAGCTGATGTACATTTCATTTCTCTTCTAGAACACCCAGCAGTAACATTTGGCTTCGAGAATTCTACTAGCTTTTCCTCTTTCATCCTTTCTGATAGCCTTGGTGCAGACTTCAACATCTCCTTTTTCATTCGTAGTCTGAAACCAAACGGTTTAGTATTGCAAATCAGCAATGAAACAGACCCCTGCCTCACTATATACTTGAAGAACGGCAAGCTAAAGATTGAGATGTTATCTACAGATACTGTGACATTTCCAGAAAGTTTAGTTGATGGGAGAAGACATTTGGTAGCTCTGTCTTTCCAAGGAGGAATTGTTGGTGCTCACCAATCAGACATGTATGTGGAGCTGGGACAACTGGTAGGAAGGCCTCTTTTAACTGGCTATGAAGTGTATATTGGTGGACGTCCTGACCCAGACAGCACTGGCCTGTGGGGAGGTTATTTTAAAGGCTGCTTGCAAGACATCCAACTGAACGGCCACAAAATAGAGTTTTTTCAGGTTGAGAACTACAGTCTGCCGGATGAACTTAATAGGACTCAAAATATTAATTTGGTGAATGGATGCATCTCTGATAACACCTGCAAGGTAGGAGGTCTTGTTTCTCTTTGCATGCATGCAGTTGTTTATTATAGGTGTGTGACTGCAGAACAGTTTGACTGTTGCTGGTACCAGGGAAACAGAACAGGATGCCTGCACTCTTAGGCCTCACTCCTGTGATGTAATTCTTTTCTCTCTTTGCCCTTTTTTTTTTTCATATAACTTTTCAAATCTGAGAGCTACAGACGTCTCTAGAATTAAACTGTGGGAAAAACTCCTGCCCTGTTATGTTACCAATTTTGGCAGCTGTTTGCTTTGATTTGAATACACACGAACACAAAAAGAACCAAAAAGCCCACCTGAAGCATAGCAGACTGGTAGATGATTAATATCAGAGGCCATAGCAACAAAAATAGTAGCAAAGAAGGACATTTCCTTCTCCCCGTCATCAGTAACATTGTACTGGTTGGAGTGATATGCTCAGAATGACCGCATTTTTCACAGAAAGCTTTAGGCTGGTGTCCAAGCCATGGCCACTGTACATGTATGCATCCAAATATGTAGAGTTTGCTGCAGCTTGAAGGTCAGCGTGCTGCAGACCAGTAGCTGTGTGGATGAGATGCTCTCTGCAGTACAGTGTCCTTGCAGATGTGCTGCCAGCTGTTCTTTTCTAAACTGATGGAGTTCTACCTGGAGAGATTTTGTCCACCAGCTCTGTATGTAGGGAGGGGCGGGGGTCTCAGGACTTGCCTGCATAAAGTCTCTTGTACTTCCTTTGCTGCTATTGATTCACTATTTTAATTACCCTTTCTCAATTTAAACACCAACTGTCACATTTCCTTCCAGCAGGTTCTCTTAGATCTAACCATGAATTATACTGCTCCTAAATTGTGCTATTTTGCCTTACAGTCTGAACCTTGTCAGAATGGTGGCACATGCATTGTCACTTGGAATGACTTCCACTGCAGCTGCCCAGCAAATTTCACTGGGAAGTTTTGTGAAGAGAGAGTCTGGTGTGAAAGTGACCCATGTCCTGAAGCTACTACCTGTATAGATGTCCCAGCAGGATATGTGTGTGAGTACTGTTATCCTGCTTATGTGTTGGTAAAGTCTTCAGGGTCTCCAACCAGTATTACTAGTTCTCACTGTTGTGATAAATATAAACACGTGCTGCAATTAGCAAGCTAAGAATGGTGGCCAAGTATGTACTGTTACAGGCAGCATGTACTTTATGGATTTACCACCAGCATGTGATAGAGTGAAGGTGGCACTCAAAGATGTTTTCTTCTGTTACTGAGGTTTGATCAGGGAGGAGCCTGCCCTCTGTTTGAGAGTGACAGCCTGCCTTATCAACATCGCAGTGCAAGGGCTATCTTTTTTCTCTACTGTTCATCCATTCCAAGAGTCTCATGTTATTTCACTAAGACAATTAATGTGTTTTCAACTAAGTCAAAACCAAAGAGAATGAAGAAAACTTGTTAGTTTATGATTCCTTGCTTTGCAGAGAATGTTCTTAGTGGCTACAAAATGTCCAGGAACTCAGGATGTTGGCCTATTTTCAGCAGCTTTGTATGTGTTGCTTTCCTGACTTGCATCCTAGTTTTTCTGTAAGAAAAAGGTGATAGTTTTATTTGTGTGCAGTGCTGTGAAATTAATGAGTAAAAATTGCCAGATAAGAGCTAGGTATTATTAATAGAAATGTAACTGTAAACAGGAAGAGCTTTAATGATGCTAGCCACTGAGCTTCTAATCCTGCTCACACTAAGCTTACATGATTCTTACATGAGTCTTTCAAACCCCCATTGCACTATTCCTTTATTTGTAGGTTTGGCTAATGCAACATTTAATAGTTCTGCTGCCATTGAATTTACCACCAATGCGTCTGTGACTAGAACTCTGGGCAGCCTCCTCATGGATTTCAGAACCAGGGACGAAGATGCTGTTTTGCTTCGGGCTATGGAAGAAGTGGACTCCCTCCAGATAGCTATTAAGAACTCCTCTTTGCTTGTTGACATCAGGAGCGGGAATAATATTGAAGGTGTCAGCTTCCTGAGTCAGAATGCTGTCACGGATGGCGCCTGGCACACAATCTCTGTGTCAATGGAGGAGCCTTCTGCACTGTCTTCCAGATGGGTGGCTCATTTGGATGGGTCTGCTAATATGACTTTGCAGGGAAATGCTGGGAACCTGGACTTCTTAAAGAACAATGCACTGATTGTTCTAGCTGAAAACTTCACAGGCTGCCTAGGACAAGTGAAGATAGGAGGGATCTACCTGCCATTCACCTCCAATCTCTCATATCCCCAGCCAGAACAGTTCCAGCAGTCCAGCAGAAGAACTGTCCAGTTAGGCTGCACGGGGGCTGATGTTTGTGCTTCTAGCCCTTGCAGCAATGCTGGCATCTGCAAGGACTTGTTCAACTCCTTCAGCTGTGCCTGCAGTGCTGGCTGGGAGGGGCTGCTCTGCGAGTCCAATATTGATGACTGCCAGTCAAGCCCGTGTGTTCATGGGAACTGCACTGATAGACTAGCAGATTTTGAGTGTGAATGCTTCCGGGGATACATTGGAAAGAAGTGTGACATCAATGTGGATGACTGTGTGCGGCACCAGTGCCAAAATGGAGCTACCTGTGTTGATGGGGTTTATGGCTACTCCTGCAAGTGCCCAGCGCAGTATTCAGGACCTCGCTGCGAGTGGGTATCTTGCCTGGTTTGAACTAGGGTAGAGAAGCCCCCATATAAGTAGGATTTTTCCTTTGGGGCACTTGGGGATTTTTTTTCAACAAGGTTTATATTTATAGCATTTGTGTTGGTTTGGAAAAATTCCAGCATATTTTATTACAAAACGAATTATTTAGACTTCCATCTACTTGTGCTGTTTAAACCAAATATTGAGATAAATATTCAAATGGTTGAACTTCATTTCTCAGATCCACCCAGGTTGAACTTCCTGTAGTTTACTCAATTTCTGCTGCAGATAATTATCTAGTGCTTGCACTTTTCTTTTTTGACCTAGCTGTGGTGCAGTTTGGTATTCCAACAATATCCTGTCACTACTTCTATTTTCTTCAGCAAAAATAGACAGCTGTGAAGAGAATCCCATACTGATGACACTGCTACCACATATTCATACAATTCATTCACACGAATTCACCACATTCATATACAAACTCCTTTTTGGGGGATGCTTAAAAGTAATATTCGGTTACTATGGAAAATTTCTGAGACTTTTCCCTTCTCATATAGTGTCAAAGCCCTTCCTGGAAAAAACAGTGACTGTGCTTATGACCCTTGCCAGCTCAGACTCCACTGTATCTGAGTATGCTTTTACCTTCCTCACAACTGATGGCTTTAAAGGCAATCTTCTGCTTTTCCCAGATGGCCGTTCCCACCTGCACAGTGTGGTAAGAACTTCACCTGTCTGAATGGTGGCAAGTGCATCACTGAGACCTGGGGAGCCAACTGCACTTGCAAGCCAGGTTTCACTGGAAGGAAGTAAGTGTTATTTTTCTGATGCCTGCAAAGGAGCTTGTGCTCTGATTTTTACATCCATGGGATAGCTGAACAGGTTCAAATGCTTCATCCTCTTGTATATCCTTTTGCCATTCAAACAACTCCTCCAAACTATACCATTTATTTTTAGAATAGGTGGGCTTGATATTATACTGTTAATAGTATCAATTTTCACAGCATGCACCACCTCTAAATATTTTTTTGCCTTGTAACGATTAACTGACTGTGCTGGAGAGTCATAACTGGCTTCAGTCGTACAGAAATGATAAGTAGAGGATTAGTATGTGTAAAACCTCCACGTTGCTGGACCCTGGAGAAAGCACTTTAAAAAGAGGTAACATAGTTTTCAGATAAATGAGGTTTTTGTAGGTTTTTGATCTTGTGTTCTGTGACACAACAATGTGAGAAATTTCATTTAACTCTAATAGCTTTTCCTTTCCAGTTGTCAAATTAATATAAACGAATGTGATCCAAACCCTTGCCAGAATGGAGGTACCTGTCAAGACTCTGAGAACAAATTCAAGTGCTTGTGCAGTGCCAGCTACGCTGGAGAGCGCTGTGACATTAACGTAAGCACTTCCTTCCTTTTGCTTTTGGAAGCTCCTCTCTGTTCTTCCAAACTTTGAATTATGAGAAGCATGAGCAGTCGGCTTAGTAGAATCCTTGGGTACCAGGGTATCAGTGAAACTGCCTGTGTGTTGTGTGTATCTTGTCTAAAGCACACTGGTAAGTATGCTTGGCACCAGAGAAACTTGAAATGTGTGTAGAGGTGGTACAAAAAGAAAATTAGATATTCTAGTTATATTCTTTTCAAATAAGAACAGTGAAGAAAAACTTGATCCGAAGCTGGAAATGACCAGCAGCAAATGTAGTGCTTGTTGAGTGCTAAGGCTGTTTTCACCTTCAGTAGTGTAAACCAGGCAGTAAGAAGCAGCAAGAATATGGAGGACAAGTTGACAGTGAATAAAAACTTCCCCATTTACATTAAGTAAGAAGCTATTGGACAGTATAAAATTGCAGGAAAACCAGGAATGGTTGATCCAGCTGAGTTCAGAGTGCGACAGAGATGTGTAATGCACCAAACAGTAAGGCAGTGTCCTTATTTTTTTCACTCTGCCCTCTTCTATTCACCACCTTGTTCTCCCTCCCACAGTTTCTTGGAGAATGGAATTTAAGCTGCCATTTTGTCTTGGATGAGCTTAATTACAAAGTAGTTTCTCTCTCCAAAAGTCAGATAAAATCAAGCTGAATGTGATAGAAGAGGAAAAAGTAGCATGCTTCTATCTGCTGTGTCTACTACTGCCTGGATGGGCAGTTTCTGCAATGCTTTTCTTTTTCTGCATAAGCAAAGCATTGCTGGTTGGGGCTGGAATCCTTCCTGTGCTGAAGCTGTTACATCGTTCACTTGCTTTCTTCCTGTAAAGCTGTTGCATGAGCAGATAGTTTGTCTGGTAACCTGGGAATGTACTAACCTATACTGCATGGAATCTGGCTGTGCACCAAAGTGGAGTCTGCTGCTGTTGCTGTTACTGAGGGCTACGTAATGCATGCACCATAAGGTCACTCCTGACCTTTCCAGTTTGCATGCACTGACTCCTTCAGGTATCTCTTTGCTCCCCGGACATTTGTAGATTCCTTGGGTTCATTTTCATCACACCCACTGCTTTCTGCAGAACAGCCTTTTCCCTCTTTAAAGGATGGTGCCTTGGTGGGGTCAGGGAGGACAGACAGGCTGTGGCTAACTGGCGTGTGTGCTGTTATTGGCAGTTGTAGAAGCAAAGGCCTTGACTGCATTCTCTTGCTCTTTCTCCTTCCCCCCAACAGCAGCAAATAAGGAGCATGCAACAAGCAGTAGGGTAGGCTGCTAAAAACTCCTGCAGCGTTGGTAAAGTGCAACTAATCTGCGTGCTTGTGCAAAACTAGAACTAATTGCTAGTGCATGGCTTGAGTTTCAGCATTCTCAAAATCAATTTGAACTTCAGGCATTTGAAAATGGAAGAAGGGCTTCCTGGTAGTCTGGGAATAGTCCTGCTGTGTATTGCTCTGTGGTGTGGGCAGAGACTGGCATCCAAAAGCAGTAAATATTCAAGCTAGGATTCTTGGCAGATAGTATTTTTAACAGAAGTGTTTCTTGTTTTTAGATTTATTGTTAAAGGTTTCTTTTAATGTTAAAATTCCACATTTAAAAATTCTTTGTTGTTGCTGTTCCCTGTCACCTTAATTCTACCAGTACCAAGATACTCATTTGACTGTTTCTCTGCTCTGTACTTGAGCCTTTTATCTTCTCCATCTCCCATCTACGTACTGATTTAACATCTCCCTGCTGCAAGCTGTCTGTTTCATTGTATTTTTACATAGTGTGGACATTAAAGTATGTCCTTCTAACTTAAAAGTTTTGAGCTCACCATTCAGTATTCATACTGTTTAAACTCTCTTGCTCTCAGATGTCCTAAAGCTCATCAAGATGGCTACACCTGTCCTTGTTTGTGTAACCACTGCATGAATGCTCCACACTGCCATTAGAGGCATCACTGAACTTTTTTTAATACCATTCCCCTACTCATGGAAATTGTAGTGTTACTGAAAAATTCATGTTTGTCTGGTTTAACTTTATAGTGTTAATTTTTTGAACTGCTAGTCAGATCACACTGGTGACACCTACATATTTTAGTCTTATAACAGTAAAGAGGCTCCTTAAGATTCCCACTTTGATTTGAATCTTTTCCTGCTGTGAAAAACCATATAGAAAGAAGAGAATAGGGAGTGTGATATTATTTGAATAGTTTCAGTTAATCTAATGCTGTCTGAAGTGTTGGGCAGACTCTTAACACAGCCATTTGTTCCAGTTAGAACAGCAGTAGTTATCTTCATTAGCAAGCTGTGTGCAGTGGACAGCTTTTCTTTGTAGCAATTGTGTAGCTCCAAGATTAGTCTCATAAACTGCATTTAGTTTTGCTGTCCCCATGTCAGCTAGGATTTACTGTGTTGGGTAGCAAACTTTCCTTTATTGTGGTCATTCTGAACATTTCCTGCTTGACTGACTTAACTGTTCTGCCAGTAAATCTGTGTTTATAACTGTCCTAACATTAACTGGCAGCTTGGTGAAGTTGGAGAATAGTTCTGATGAGTGTCACCACTTATGAATTAGAGGAAAATTTCAGAAGCTCTTAGTAGCTTTCTTTATATCAGAAGTAATCCATTAAAAAAATATATATTTTTTGCTGAGATTAAAGAATGAACATAAGCATTCTCTGTGCAGATGCCCTCAAGCCCTCTTCCTGTCCTTTTCCATTAGGGTACAGATCAACTGCCTTTTTTCTTTTTTTCTCTCTATTCTGACCATTCTGAGCTGTTGGACAGGTTATTGTAACCACTGGAGTTTCATTGTTTCTCCATTAATTTCTTTTACAGAAAGGGACTCCAGGTGCTTTCTTCCCCTCCCCACTAATTGAAGTAGCTGTCCCTGTAGCCTGTGGCTCTTTACTGCTGCTCAGTATTGGTCTCATATTCATGATTATCACTGCAAGGAAGAGGCGCCAATCAGAGGGAACCTACAGCCCAAGTCAGCAAGAAGTGGCAGGAGCTCGGCTGGAGATGGACAGTGTCCTAAAGGTGCCACCCGAAGAGCGGTTAATATAGGCACTGCCCTGGAGACACCTGCAAGGTCTGCTTTGACCTTGATCTTCTTCCAGCACTTGCAGCAGATCCACTCTTGTCTCAGTTTCTTTAAGGCGTGGTAATGAAGACCTGGATTTAGAAGAACAAGGCAGTCTGTCTATGCAGTGGCTGTTCCAGTTGGTTTCATTTAATTGAGTCAGCTGCACACCACTGGCTCACAGTGAGCCTCTTTACTTCCTTCTTTCCTGCCCCATGGGCTGTCCCATACTTTTACCTCAGTAGAAGCTGTTGAAGTGCACCAGCTTTGAAGTTCCTCTGGCTCCATTACACTTCTCACGTAGCAATGGCATATTTAAATCTGCTTTAAAAGGTAGGGTTAAATTAGGCACTAACTTACAGATAAAGATCTGTACATACTTGTAAGAAGAACTGGACAGAGGGTATTTATGACTGGTTTATATATACTGTTCTGTTTTGGTCATCAACTTAATGTGCTCAAAGCTTATTCAGTTCAGGCATATGAGGTTTTCAAATCTGTTCTCAAAAAGCAATTCTCAACAGCAACAGCAGCTGTGATCTCCTGCCCTGTGATGGACACAGCGTTACAGGGAACTGTCACAAATTACTGAAACCATTGGTTTATGAAGTAATGTTAGACATTCCCACGGGTACCACACAACAGAGGTACAGCTGGAATTTTGCAGGTTTGTGAACCAATGCTGGAAGTACCTGCAGTGTCTGTTGCCAAATACTGAACTTAGGCCCCTGTGTGAACGGGGGAAGTGGGGAGCAGTCACCACACTGCTTCTGTATTGCTTGGATTTGTAGGGGACTGTGGTTCTCAGCCAGTGAAAGGGGGGAAGTTCCAGTCACACACTGCTGTTGTCAGTGTGATGGCAGCTTAGAGAGAGGTTATGGGGACGGGATGAGGGATATGAAATGTAGCCTGTCCCCATGGGAGCTGTCAGTAACACCGTCTTCTACCACAGCAGCCTTTGTGGGCACACCTTAGCAACTCCTCCGTTGTGGGAGCAGTTGGGGCTGCGGGGACTGCCCTCCTCCTTGCAGTTGGTGCAGCCACGGTGATTGCCATGAAGAGGAGGCGAGCAACTCAGGGAAGATACAGTCCAAGCCGGCAAGAAAAGGATGGTGCTCGAGTGGAATTGTGGAACGTAATCAAGCTGCCACCAACAGAGAGGCTGATATAAGAACTAGGGTCACAAGTCATCCTTTAACAAACTGCTGCAGTATTTCTGTCTTAGGTCTTGAAATGTGGTATTGTTTTTTTTTTTTTTTTGTAGGACAGATCTTTTCTTCTTTAAGCTCCTTCCCAGGACACAGGTAACTGCCTTCTGTTAACTTGGTAATATTCAACCACTTGAAAGAGCTTGGTTAAGTTATTACAGCTCATTCCATAAAAGCTTTGTAAAAAATTGGTCTGTGAGCAAGGACAGTGAAGCCCAGGGAGAAAAAGCATCTGGGAGGAGCTGCTGGAGGAGAAGTGTTGGCTGTAGCACAGCAGAGAGAGGGATTTTAGAACTACTAACAGAATGCAGTACTGCAGGTCAGTGAGATGGTAGGGCCAAGTGACGCTGCCAGCCTTACTGACTGTCTCTGTCCTGCAGTCATCCACGGGCTCATACCTGTAGTAACTGTCAATATCAACTCCACCACGCAGGTAAGTAAGAATGTCTAAGGGTGAGGAACAACCCACAGTATTAAGAACTTATTTCAAAAAAACATGTGCCTGTGCTCCCTCTGTAAATTCAAGGCTGGTGACTGACTGATGGAATATAATTCCCAGAACTGCTGCTGTCCTTCCATAATGGGACCAGAGTTAAGTACTACTATGCTATAGTAGACACTAAAATCTTTTCATAAGATTAGAGTAAAACATAGGAATATGTTAAGTGCCTTTTTAAGACTGAGTGACCAGTTACAGAACTACAGAACTACCTTTCTAGAATGTTTATGCACATTAAACCTGATCAGTTTTGTGATCAGACTTGACAACAGCACTGAAGTGAGCCTGCTGACTTTTTCCCCGTGTGTTCCTAGGTATAGTATCTGCCATCCACACAGAGCAGAATGCATTGAGTCAAGAGCTGACATTACGTAGCATGACCACACAACAGTCCTTAGTAAGAGATTCAGCATTTGAACATTAGATGATCCTTGCTTGTGTGAAGAGGGGCAAGGAAGTTGTTTCCAGACCTGTACCCTTGTGGACAGCCAGGTTTGGGGGCTCATTGATACAGAAGAGTGGAAATTAAATAAATAATATATTGAACTTTAAGATAAGACTATTTTTTGGGTTGTAGCTCAGCATTCATTTTCTACTTTTGCTATAAAAAGGGATATTAATTTTGTGGCTTTACTTCCTTTGTTACTGTTTTAGCTGATGACTGCGCTATTTTTTTCCCCTAGCATAATGTGGTAAAGCCTGCAGAAAGAACTATGGCAAAGCAGGCCAAATAAGGTCTCAAATCAGCAGGCTTTCACAACAATTGCTACAAGTATCAGTGAGAAATATTTAGAAAATAGTGACTGCTTTTTTATCTCCAGAATACTATTAATAAGCAGCGTGTGAATCTGCACACCAAATCTAATTGCCACAGGAAGAAATGCACTCCTGTTATGCTCTTTTTGCTCTCAGATTATTATTTTTTTTCAAGCCGTAGTTGTTAATTTCTTCTGTAATTCTAAGCAAAGGGAAGAGACAAAGTACTGATCAGGTCTGTCCAGTTAAGAGCAGGTCTTCTGTGTGTGTGAAACTGTTGATGTAAGGTGAACAATGAAAACTGTGAAAAAACTGAACAAAGGAAAGCATTAGAATGTGAGACTTCACATCTCATATGAAGATCACTTTTCCTTGGATGTTTAGGAAGAGTTGAAAGAGCGTGCAGTGATCCCACCCCAGCTGTGACTTGGGCAGGAGTTGGAGAGGATAGTACTGATAACTGCAGAAATTACCTAGCAGCAGTTCAGGGAGCTTGCTGTCACTTTATTTATTGGCAATGCTGCTGTTACTTTTAACATGAATTATTTGCTCTGTGTACTTTCCAGATGCTATTTAGGAGGGTCTAATATACTTCTAGAATAGAGACAGTTACACTGTCCAGTCACCTTGCTACAGGGGAGTTAAGCTGCACACCTTAAGAAAACATGAGTGCAATTTTCCCTGGCAGCGGGGATAAACAAATGAAGCAGGCAGTGCTTTTCTGGGAGAGCAGGTCTGAAGGGGAAGAACTGGCTGCAGAGCTGCTTACTGTGTCTCCTCTATGGAAACAGAAATGCAGGCTGGGTCTGAGACCTGCCCTGTCTGAAGCGAAGGGTTGTGTTTATCTCATGGGGAGAAAGGATTTGCACCCCACACTCATATCAGGGGGCTGAGGCAGAGCCCCATGTCCTGTCACAGTCCTCCTGCATAATCTTTACTTAAATTGCAAAGGTAGGTGTGGTTTTTCTTCATCCCATAAAGCAACAGCAAGATTAAAATATGCTTTTGGTTTTCCCCAAACAGGCCTGATTAACCTCCAGGTCAGTGCCAGGAGATGAGAATTACTGCTACTTTTTAGGTCTGCTCCATTCTTTTGTGTTAGAATTGTAGAAAAATGAAAGCAGCAAAAGGGTCTGAATGAACAAATTTTACTCTAACCTGTATTATTTGAGAAGAAAAAACAAATTGTGATGTAAGAACTGACTATTGCTGAGCTACTGAAATATCTTGAAAGGCAGTAAGTAGCTGCACGTCCCCCAGCAGCGGACACCTAAAAGCCAGCGAGGTGCAAGCAGTGAATCTGTCTGCATCTCCTGCTGTTCTTGGGGTAGTCAGCAGGAAGGCTGCTGCTCAGTTGCTTTACAGGATTAATAGAGCAGAAGTTTATATTTCAAGCACCCAAAGCCAGTACTAGGATAAGTGTAAAAATACTTTGTCAGTGTCTTGAGCATTTCTGCAAAATAAGTTATGAAAGCTTTTTTTTTTTCAATAATGAACTTAACTCTCTTTTTATATTTAATTTTTGAATATATTTTTTCACAAAACTGGATTTGCTGTAGTTAATTGTTGTGATCCTGATTTCTTTTCTAATTGTAAACTTTATAATTTGTTAAAAAAAAAATTAAAAAAAAAAAAAAAAGATTTAGAATGTCCCTCAAAATAAGTTTACAATAAAACATGTATAAAAATAGACCTAGTTACCATGATCTGTGATCACTTCTTGGCAAATCGCTGCTTGATTTCTAGGTTGCTGATTTTGGTCTGTAACAGAGTTTGCTCAGCCACAAGTTTCCGTGCTGCATTAATTAAGTTGCTCATTATTATTATTTCTGTCACACACCATAACTCTAAACAGCAAATCTGCACAGCAGTTACTGAAGTCCTATTGTAGAAATAAAGAAGGGAGCTACTGAACCTGTTGCATTCTCTGTTAAGCTATACTGAAGTATGTGCTACTACACACTGCGCTGAGCTATCAGTGATACCATTCACCTGCACAGCTATGAGCAAAGACACAAAATCTGCGTAGCCCTGGCCTACGTAGCAGCCTAAGGCAGGACAGATTTCTGCAGTGGCAGAAGTTCTCTTCTGGAGAAATGGGGGCCAGCACTCTCCAGCAGAAGGGAAAAAAACAGAGAGGACCACACTTCAGTCTTTACATCATCTGACCCGATGTAGCTGGAGATATTCTGCCCACAGCTGGGACTAAATGTCAAAGGAAGTTCACATTCAAGCCTTCAGAATAACATTTTCTCTGTAAAAAGACTTCACAGATCCTACCTCCCTGAGTCTGAAGACTTCTTCTGTAATTCCCAGCTGCCAGGGGCCAGAGGCAGAAGTTGGAGGTGGGGCCAGCTGGGCTCTTGACCTGATGCCTCAGCCAGTGCATCACAGGGATGGATGCAGAGATGTGCTGTGTAAGGACAAGTGGCTCAGGCTGTGCTGCTGTCAGCAATGGCAGAGCAGAGGCACAGCTGCACCCTGCACCGCTCACCCCATGCAGTCTTGGGAACTTCGCTCCGCAGTTGTGCCACAGGAGCTGCTGGTGGCAGCCCTGCTCCAGCTGCAGGACAGCTGCAAGCTCTTTTCCTGGCAGGAGAGCTGCTAATGGACAGAGCTCAAAGTGAGCAGCCTGAACTGGAGCACCTGGAAGGGAGGCTAGAATGTGGAAATAAATGACTATAACTGAAACGGCTGCACCGACTGCTTGGTATTGTAAGCATCCCTGTGCAGTGGAACACCCAGAGCCACTGAGGTACACCTGACACGACTAAACTGCACATCCAGTTTGCTTCCATGTAACAGCAACACATCAGCATCATGGGATGTAACGACCACTTTGGCACTGAGGTAACTGCTGCAATAAACACAACCAGGTGAGCCTGAAAACAGAGACAGATAATCAAAGTGCTTGCTGCAGAGCAATGGGCCAAAAGGGAATGGATTTAAATTATAAAATGTGAAAAAATTTGGTGCATGCTCCTGAGAAGACAATTCTCAGTCTTTCTTTCAGAGAAAATACGTTCAGTTTCTGGCAACTTAAGCAAACATTCCACAGAAAATTAACTAACTGTAGGCATATGCCCTTGCTTCAGTTTTATGCATCCATTAAAAGAGTGGTGAGATTACATAAAGCCCCTACTCTGCCAAAACGTTTAACTCTATTAAGCAATTAATTTTACAGTGCTACACAATGAATCACATGCTTACGTTTGTTTTATGACGCCAAGCTGCTGCACCATTTGAAAACATGGGCACAGGATTATCACAGAGCTGAGCGTGGTGGAACCAGGCAGTTCCAGGGTGGGAATTCATCTCCTGCATTGCCACAAACTTCTTAAGTTCCTGAAGGACATTGGGGGACCAGAGCAGCTCTTGTTCACAGTGCAGATTTAAAAAAATACATGTGTTAACCTCCAACAGTCACAAGCAAAGTGAAACAGGTTTTTCCAAACCTGGATGTTGTAAGAAGCAGCAGCTAACAGGCTTTGTGTTCATACACAAAGCAATTAATCTGCCAGTGCTGGAAAAAGCACTTTGGTCATAAAGCCTACAGGGTAAGCATAGAAAAAGCACAAAACACATTAAAAAATGACAAACTAACATAAATCCTCTCGTGCAAATGGACAGAGTTTGGGAAACATACAGCCATCATTTACTTACACGCTCTTTTGAAGGCAGCACGTCACACATTCCTGTTTAACAAAAGATAAGCTGCTGCACACAGCCTTCTGCAGTGTCACTGACCCAACCTCTCGTACGGTCGGGTAAAGGGATGTTACTTTCCCTGAAAAATGGCAGTCCTGTGTTACTGACAGACTTTATCACCTCCGAAACAGAGAGGAAACGGAGCAGATGTCAATCTCCTGTTGGAGAGTTTCACACACATGTAAAAAGCAGAAAAAATGCAGGCAGCACAGACCATTCACTGCAGGTGAGAAAAAAATCAATGTGTGGCAAGAAAAAGAAGGGAGGAGAAAAAAACAACTCACAAAAAGATGCAAAATTCCAATGGCACATCATCTGCTACATAGTGGTGCTTGTATGGATCCACCACAAGTGAGGAAGGTTTTTTTTTCTGCCATCTAACTCACACTAAAGGAAACCCGCAAATTCCAGACTGGATCTGTACATGTTTGTATAAAACGAAATGGAGCTATTGTCTTAGACTTTAAATATTTTACTATGCAATACTAAAACCATCTGTCTTCCAGCACAAAAAGAAAATACAAATTCAATTGCATGGCTTGTAAGAGTAACAGTGCTTTACAGAAATATTGATGCAACACTATGGTCTTTCTCAAACTGTTTGCATTTCAGATATTAGGAGTATTTCTCTTTTGTATTGCACAGACTCAAACGCATAGACAGCCATTTTCATACACTAGAGTAAGAAAACCTCCAAGATTATATGAATAAAATAGATACATTGGAAATAATTCTGATAAAGCTTACAAGAATTTCCCCACGTGTTCAAAATGATTTCCTTTATCAAAGGCTTAATGGTGATGTGATTACCTCGATGGAGTGATGTTTTAAATGTGACTCTGCCCAAATACAAAACAAATCCAAAAAAAGCACCACTTAAGTAAAACAGAAATGATCACTGCAAAGACAGCAGGTTTTAAAGGAGTTGCTAAGATTAAGATGAAATTTCTTGAGGATACTATTGCCATAGATAAGAGTCTTAGAAAATCAGGATGAACGTACCCTTTAACCTTTTCATTGCATCGTTGTATCTGTGACCTCACAGTCCTTTTCATGGTCCAGTTAGCATCTCGTTATACCAGCAAATGGTTCTCATCAAAAGCAGGGCGAGGATTGTGGTTTTTAAGACAGGCTGAAGGAGTGGAGAGCCTTGCAGACCAGAGTGAAATCCCACTGCTTCAAGGTAGCAGTTAGCACATCTGAAGTCCAGCAGTGACAGGCAGCTGCCAGGGATTGGCCTTCCAGCATTATGTGATTACTCAGCTCCACTTGAGTCTGATTTCTGTCTGTACAGACAAGCACTGCAGCTTTCATCTCGCTGCACTTGGGCCATCTTGTCAGTACACTGGCATTTAACTTGAACTCATGAGCCTGAACTCATGGGCTTTTATACTCCATTTTTTCTCTTTTTTTTTTTAAATAATCAAGACATTGTTACATCCCATTCATATACTGCCATCTATAATGTTTATATATAATATTAACATACACATACTAGGATACTCTTTATGGACTCTATTTTCTGATATATATAACAAAAAATAATCAAACAACAACAACAAAAAAGTAAAAAAAAAAAACCACCAAAAAACACAAACAAACAAACAAAATCAATTGCTGGTGTTTCCAGTTTCCCAACAGGATTGCAGGACCAAACCCTGAGCAACTGCTCTGTGCTGTGGTTTTGTTGTAACAAAGAACTGTGACAATTCTACACCAGAGGTCCCTATTACCTCTCAGTGTCAGCACACTGGAGAAGGGAAATGAAAAATTTGCAACAAAAGTTCACCCAGTAGTATGACCTAATGAATGCCTGACAGGACAAACTTGAACCTAATGGATTATTAACTCAGTACAGCCCATAAGTCTGGGTTTGTTTGCTGCACTCCACACGGGAAAGCAAAATATTATAGTGATGTATGCAACACAGGAAAAACTGAGCTGAACGCCATTCAGACAGGCAGCAAGAAAACTCTGGCATGGTGTGCTGTGTCATGCTGCTGGCTGCACTAAGGGCTGAAAATACATGGAGTAAATTCTGCTTCAGTAGTACTGACTGAAAAGCGATGCGTGGAAAACCAAACCAAATCAATTCCAAACCAACCACCTTCATGCTTTGATCAGTGCAAGAGTCATGAGTGTGTTTAGTGGCAGAAAGTGAGGAAACAGTTGCAGGGATCAGAACAACATGGGAACTCCCAAGCAGAACAAATTCTGGGCAAAAAGCAGTCATGTGAATTGCAGCATGGCAATGGTCCTGCAGCCATAAAAGAAATGCTTGGTTGTATGCTGGCTCAAAAAGAAAACAAAAACATCCTGTCAATTCCAAAGGGACATCAAAAGACCACTGGGAACATTATTCAAAGGTTTCCCATTGCCTTCTGAGCTGTTCAACCTTACCTGGTGTGGATGACACATCTTGCTTGGTCCTTTTTAACAAATCCTCAAATGGATCTTTTGTCTCCTCAGGTTTTGAGGACAGTAACACTGACTCTAAGCCCTTAGCTGGCCTGGAAGGGATCAAAGGGGGTTCATTAGACAGAAGAGCTAGTGCTTGTTGGGTATCTGCCTTGGAAGTGGACTTGCCCACATGCAACGTTCTGGTTTTAGAAGGACCACTTAAACATGCTGGCTGTAGAGAGCTCGCTGGAGAAGGGCTGTGGCTCTGCAGCAGTAAGGAGCCAGCTGGTGACATTGCTGGAGCCTGGCTGAACAAGTTAGGCATGGACAATGTTGAAATGTTTGGTTGAGGTCTGTGTGGTGGATATAAACTAGAATTAGGTGTTATGAAGCTAGAACTATAAGCATGACCTAATGTGGGGGTGAAAGAGCCCCTTGGGGGCCTAACAAGAGACACTGAAAGAGGTCCTGGCACCGTTTGTGTGAATGGATTAGGAGATGCCTGTAAAAAAGGTGGCAGTGCTGGGGAAGGATAACTGAGTGACTGGATAAATGGTGCAGCTGGAGGAGGCACAAAGTCACTTGCCACTGATATAAAGCCAGCTCCAGAAGGTGGAGTGACTGAGCTCTGCAGGCTGCAGGAACCTTGCTGGGGGCCACTGCTTTGCCAGCTGGCTGCTTTTAATGGATCCAGCAGATTCAGAAGGTAGTCACTTTCATTACCTGTATTATCTGTCTTCACCCTGACAGGTTGGAGCATCTCTGCAGTGCTGGTAGCACTGGACAAAAGCTGAGATGAACAAGAGGAATAATTTACAGACTGCTGGACTTCAGGTTCTAAGGACAACCTAGCAACTCCTAAGGGCTCCGGGATAAGATCTGAAACCAACTGGCTACATCCTGTGTGAGCACTGAGAATTTCTGTTGGCCCAGTTGGAGTCTGATGCTTGGAAGCCCTGGGTGCTGGCGGCGGTGGCACTATCCCCAGTTCAGGAGTCTTTCTTCCCTGTGGCCTAGGAATGGTGATATTCCCTTGAGCAGCAGGATTTGAGTCATCCTTTTCTGCAGAAGCCAGAATGCTGTCTCTGCTCCGGGGTCTCCTTGTGATTGGTGGTACATTGCCAAGTGCAGTCAGGGGCCTTTCTGGTGAGCTTTGGGAGTACTTGGTAGGAATAGCCATGTCATCATGACCCATATTCCACAGCTTGTTGTAAGGGTGAGACAGCTTCATTGGTGGCACAATCCTGTTCCTCTCAGACCCAGCAAGATCCATTCTCTGCAAGAAAACAACGTTAACTTTCACTGATCTCCTCTCAGCATGGATCAGCCTGAAGACAGGCTGCTCAGCTGTGAGTGGACAAAGATCTGTCCACAGAGTGAACACCGAAAGGAGAGGGACAATTGCATATGGCCAAGAAGGACAGGCAGGGAAGCAGAAGCAGAACTCCACACTGTTAGTTACAGCTCTTCCTCTAAGAAGTTGTTCAGCTGTGATATATTGTAGCATCTGCTGTTAGCCAAGTAAGGAGCACACATCTATATCTAGGGTACGGAAGTGGAAAAACTTCACTTGTTGTACAGCAAAAGCTGTCAAATGAAACATCTGGATCTAACACTAAATTAAATATTACTTTAAGGTAGAAATTACATCCTTTTCTTTCCTGTTAGAGTTTGCCACTTTCTCAGCTGTACATATTCAGTGAAGTTCTTCAAAGAATATTCGTCTTCAGCAATCTAGATTGTCCAACTGATGTTTTAATGAAAAAAGCCACTATCTGACAACTGAGTTTCATTTCAATAGTTTCTTAATTCAGAAAGGAACGTTGAAACACATGGACAAATGGATGCACCTACTCAATACTAACTAAATATTATTCAAGGAATAATGGAAGACAGACAACCCTAGTTCTTTGCAAGTTGCCCCAGGGCATACAGAACTCTGTCCAAACCTGGTAATCAAACGTGCATCGCTGATCTGCCTCTTCTTTTGGAGTCCGCAGGTCTTCCAGGCTCTTAGCCTGGCTGAGAGTCTGAGGCTGCGTTTCTACCTCTAAGTTAGGGAAAATGTCTTCAAGGAGGTTGATTTCTGTAGCGTTGCTGGAGAGGAGAGGGCTTGGAGGCAGAGGCTCTTTTGCCTTTTCTGGACTGACAGCCTCTTCCCCATCAGCACTATCAGATTCTTTCAGAGCCCGGTACGGCTGAGGCCTACAAGAGAGGAAAACAAAAATCATGCTGCAAATGACTGCCTTTCTCTTATTTTTAAAGACAACTATTTCCCAAGGAGCTGGATGGCTCAAACAAACTGTTTTTGGGTAGGAAAATGCAGCATACAGCATCTCATGAACAGCAGGCATGTGAGCAAAATGACTGAGGGCAGACATACAGAGATGACTTTGGCACTCAAGGAGTTTTCAGAAGAAAAAAAATGGAAGATGGAAGTACTTGGAGGAAAGCTGTGGTGATGCACTTACAGACAGACTGATAAGCCAAGTCTCCCAAAGCAGGAATAGATGGATGCCAGCTCTCTGCTGTGACAGCCTGGCCCTTCCCACTCAGGCAGATGGCTTTCTTGTGCTCAGGCCTTGCACACAGGAAGTCAGAGCAAGCACACCACAAAGTGCTGGTGTTCTGCAGCCACTTACATTCCCAGTTTCAAGCTAACTCAGCACAAAACATAATTCAGTGTTTTCCTGCAATAATTGGGAACACTGTGCAGAGTTCCAATGTTTGTACTGGTGTCATGTTATCAAGAAACACCACAATCCATTATGGAGACACCTATTTTACATTTACAGCCAAGGCCGAGTTAGCAAGATGCTTTTCTTGTACATGCCTCAGCAAAAAGAAATGAACAACAGCAGATTTGCATATAGGTTCTGTGTACAGAGAACAGCAGCATAATGCACATCCAATTAATAACAAGAAGTGACACACTTATCTGCAGTGATTTGACTGGCAGCCAATTTTACCATGGCATTTCAACAAGGTTTCAATTAAAAGAAACTATTTGTGAGACCTCCAAAGCCAAGGATAATATGGAAGAACCCTCCTCTTCTTTCCGTATTTTATGATAACACACCCTTATCACACAAATTTATAAAGTCCTTACTTCCTTCATCAACAAATAAGTAGTAGGCAATCAGCTAGCAACACATGAATGTAATAATGTAAGTAACCAGACAGCTGATGGGGCACTCCTCAGGAAAACAATGATCTTGCAAATCTTGATTGCATCTTTAATCTCTCACATTCTACATGCTCATCTGCTAAGCATGAAATCACACTGCAAAATTACTGAAACACTGAAGAACCCTGCACACAAACCCAACAAACAGCTTGCTATTTCTTGTATAATTCTATGTCAGGTTGTACTCAAAACCCTCGTAGGACCTCTGCATGGTGACTGCTCTGAGTCACCGAGGAACCAGTACCTGAGGGAGCACACAACTGGAACTGGAACAACTGATGGCTGCGCTGAAATAAAGCTCACAGGACAATCCAAACAGCACAGTTAGCGCTGCACGAGGAAGAGTGGCAGAAGGTTTGGACAGGAACACAAGCAGCACATTGGAACAAAGGGCAAGTGGAAGGAACCTCCTACAGAGCTCAACTCGAACGTAACGCAATAAACTGTGCATTACTGCATAGTGTTTCATGCAGAAGCATATTTTTGCATGCCTTTAAATATGAAAGCAAGCAGGAGAAATGCAGAACATTCATCAAGTGTTGTACAAAGATTGCAAGATTATTTCCAAAATTGCAAGAAGCAGGCACCCTGACCAATGCAAAAACCATTGTTTAAAGACTGAATTAATACAATGAAAGAATAAAGGATAGACCATTCAAAAGGAGCAGAGAAGAAAAAGTTTTCAGAGAAGCCAGATACAGGATCCTCTTCCTGCTGAAATTCATCATCAGAAGAGTCCTCAGAGAGGAAGACTGTATAGTGTCGCATAGGCTTTACAAGGCTGAGGGAAACAGGGAGAGAAAAGGAAGTTATCAAGTTGTCACATTGCAAGCTGCAGAGGAGAGAGAAAACCAAGTGATTCATAGGCTGTAAGTAATTTCTGAACGTGACTGAGTGCCACTGCAAAGAGCTCTGCAGACATGTGTTGAGCTGTACTGTCTAGGCAGAAAATAAAACTCTTCTAAAAACCTTGGGTTTTCTAGGGTTATCTAGTAGGGTAGGGTGCTAAGACCTGCAATCACATCCCTGTTGCAATAGAACCAATACAGAAATCCACAATTCTGCCCGCATTTTGTCAGTCACATATCACTGAGAAAATCCCAGCTATTGTACTGAATCAAAACGTACATCATGACTGACAACTGAGATGGGAGCTTAGTTTTGCTAATACTGAGGTCTGCAATAAAGTTTGTTACTTCAATGTAAGCAGCATCAGGCTCATCGTGGGGAACAAAGGATAGGTCACGACCCCATAAGCAACAGAACAGTGGTAACATACCTCACAGCTACGTACACCACAGATAAGAAGAGAATACACTGCAGAAGAGGACCAAAAGCCAGGAAGAAAAGGAATTTGATCTGTTACTTTTATAGTACAGATACAGTTGCTCCCGCATTCATAATCAGCCTTCAGTGTTTCTTAGTTCTTTGGTCTAATTGTTAAATAACTATGTAACTGTTCTGAGAAACAGTCCCAAACATTAGGTCAGAAAAAGAGAAGTTGGACACTGTGAGTGACAGCTCAAGGGGACCCAAACTGCCACCGTGAATAAATGTTACTCACAATCAGGTCAGAGCTAATTAATAAAAAGTCTAAAATAGCGGTGGCAGCAGATGCAGCTGATAGTGTTAAATCATAGTCTGTGGTACTCCAATTAAAGCTGTTGCATAGCTGTTCTTTTCCTCTCATGCTATAATAGGCATCCAGGGAAAGAGAGGGAGCTGCCACTGCATTAGGAAAAAATGGCCATTTTTTAAACTTTTTTTAATTTTTTTTTTTGCTAAAAGGGAGACTGCTATCCAAAGGCTTCAACTTGCATAAAAAAAATAATTATCTAAAAGAGTTTTAGAAAGCAAAGATGCTTAAAGAGTATATCGATTTATATTAGAATCTTACAGATTTTTTTTTGAACTTATATACACACACAGAGCTTTTTCTCTTTGCGAAGTACAGTAACATTTAATACGACTCAAGCAAATCTAGAATTGTTTTCTGGAAATCAGGAGCGATGCTGACTGCCCACACATCTTTGCCAGGCCGTACGCCTGGCGATGGCACGCAGCAGATCTCAGGTGCCGCTGCCCTCGCAGCACCGCCTCTGATCCCTTTTGTTTGCCTTCAGACCACGCCAAATTCAAACGTGTTGTGTCTGTGTGTGTATGCACAAAACGAGCTCTGAAGAAATAAGATCTCTTTTGCTAATTCATCATTTGCCCCTCGGCGCAGGCCAGTGCAACAGGATCACATTCATTGTAAGATAACATGCAGGCTTTTGTTGCTGTTGCAAGACTCCTGAAAGTGGGATCTCCTAATTAGAAAAAAGAAAGCGCTTCAGCTTCAGCGTCAGCGTTCTCTGAAACAGATTGTGGCCACAGATAAGGGATGAACAGTTTAAAATCGTCCAAGTTTAAATTTTTCATTAGCTTGAGGCAGTGGAATCCAAAAAAAGTACCGATTCCCTCATTAACCCAATTCGCCAACTCTCCTGCAGTCTGCCACCCACCACTTGCTAGGATTTCATACACAAAGAGCTGTCTCTGAAAGGCAGGTCACAGCAAGCCCGGCTACAAGGCAGGCGCTGCTGCAGCCTTAGAGGGAAGAAAGGATGTGTCCGTCACAGCTACAACCCTCATCATCTCCACATGACTGCACCAGCTCCTGCCTACCTAATCTCTTAGCTGAGTTACCATGCAGATGACTTGCTGATCTCTTTCTAATGTTTAGTTTAACATGTCTTCGGTTAGCACTAGCATATGACAGTACTGACAGCCGTGGCTGTTCCTTTTTAAATATCATGTCAGAAACACAGTGCAATAAAGCTGGGGATGCGCTCCATGGCTCTGCGTACCATTATGATAGTATGGGTTTCTTTTTTAATGAGGAAGATCTGCATCTCAGGAGCTTTTTTCATGTGTCAGGATGCATGGACAAATCAGCAGCACATCACACTGGCCAAAAATGAAATGCTGACAAATGTAGATATTTCAAATTTAATTGACACCTAAATGTACTTGAGATAGAAAAAATACATACTGAAAATGTGAGTACAGGATTTGGACATTAATAAGGAGAACTCTGTAATAATTTTAAAAGGTAGTTCAGAAAAAAAAAAATTTGTGTATTTTATCAACTGTTTGCTTTTTCCTGATTACAGAGATGATGATACAATGGAGTAATGTCGGTCTTGATGCCATTGTTCCCCTGAAAAGGACTTCCCAAATTTGAGGAAGGATTTATACTTTATATTTTAAAGAATACCTGTGCCACTACTCCAGGGAATTAAGGAATTTGTCCCTCTTAGACAGTAAAATGAAAAGAATGAGGGTTTTGGATGCATTGGTTTTTTTCTTGCCAGTATGAAATAAGAGATTTGGGACTGAGGGGATTGCCCCATAACTCTTCACTACGAACAAAGCACAGACCTGTCCCTGGAATTCCTTCCTGCATATTCAGCACACCTGAGTGTGAGCTGACAGGAACAGTAAAGTATTTTATTTTTTAAAGTGACACTTTGCATACTATGAATCTTCACAGAAGCAGAACAGTCCAAGAAAAATTAAAATATTAGCATAAAGCATATTTTTAAGTATTAAAAAATTATGAGTAAACCAATCAGATAACAGAAATCACTGTGTGATCACAGGGAGCAGTCAGGGCAGGTAACTGCCTCAGAGTTTGACTCAACTTTCTATGCAATTTCCACAAAGTTAAAAAAAGGAACAAAGGATTTAAAGTGGGAACAAGCTGGATGACACCTCTGCCTGCTCTGACAGATCTAAGATGCAAGATTCTACAAAGCCATCTCACATTTTCATCCTATTTCTCAATAATAAGTACGCGTTCACCAATTTCCCCTACAGATATCATAGCCGTATCTCTTTACAAAGGCAAGCTGCACACATTTGGTAGGTAGATGGCAGAAATAAGCACCAGAACTGTTTCCTGCAAAATATCCTACAGGAAAAGTGGGAGAGACAGGAAGGAATCTGGGAAGGCTCCCAAAGGTTTTTGCTTGGCCACGTACAAAGAGCACGGCTGCTCTCAGTGTGCATCTTCCCCACTTGCTGTCCTTTTGCTGGGCCATCTGCGTTCTTGGCACCACCTTTATTGAATGTAACTTTTTATAAATCAATTTTCTTGTGGCAGAAGAATCAAAGCCATGCAACCAATCTATCTGCTATAGTCTACAGGACTGTCCTTTGGATTCCAGCCAACCTTGCTCAAATGACTACTTGCGGGTGTAGCTTTTTCCTAAGCAGAGACCCTTGCTTGAAGTGATGCCTTAAAAAGCTTTACAGTACACAAATTCTGTGTGGCAGAGCTCCGAGAGCCTGGTTACATCAACTGGAAGTTAATGGGCTTTATGAGCCTGTATCATTTAACACAGCCGTCATGCTGACTTCATGCTAAATTCAGTGTAATAACCTACTATTGCACTGCAGTCTAATTTCATTCATACGATATAAGAGAAAACCATTAGCTTCTCTAAGTCCTACAGGAGTTCTGGAAAGTCATAATGAACTGCTGCAGCACTGACACGGGTTTAGCCAGCCCAAGACCCTTTTGACATGCTGTTAATTGTGAGCCTGACCCTCTGATTTCCTATTTTAATTTCCTCCCACTCTGCATGCCCTAGATGCCAGCTCCTCAGTAAGCCAGTACTTAGAGAACAGATCCTAGAGCTCTCTGGAAGCCTATTCTGAACTTAATGGGTAATCTTGCTGTGGTGTAAAAGAGAGCTCTTGAAAAACTGCTTATCTGTAAAAAAACGCAACACCTTGTTTCTGTGAACACCTAATTTGTGCTTAAGGAGATGTGTCCACACGTTTAGTATTGCCTCAAATGGCAACCCTATGTTTTCTGAGCTCTCAGGTTCTTCCTGCTTAATAATATTTTTTTAAACAATGCATTTTAGGTTTAATGGCAATTTGGAAGAATCTTTGTACATCACAAGCCTTGCTTTTTTTATCTGATTGCAAAACAAAACAAAAATGCCACGTTTCTATTGAAATGGAAAGAAACTCACTGAAAATTGTAATGGGAAAAAAAATAACTCTTCCACCAGCTCCTCTAAATATGAAGGTTTAACAAGACTCCCACCCTCCCGAGTTTTAATGGAAGACTGGTTAGAAAATGAGCACCTGCATTCTTACAATAATATTCTTTTGCACAGATTTAAAAAACTGACTCCTATAACTTAAGATACAAAATTCTTAATATTGTACGAAATGCATTAATAAATCTAACAGCTGAAAGGACATCTACGTGCTGGCTGACTGTTCAGAAATAACAGGCACCGTCATGGAAGGAAAGGAAGCTGCACTGAAACCAACTTGCCTGTGATCTGTGCCACAGCGCCGGGACGCCGTCCCAGCAGCCAGGAGCAGGATGCAAGCCCAAGTCTGAGTGGTGACCACAGCCTGGGAAACGGCTCTGAAGCTTTCACATCATCAATCAGTTCAAGACAAAAATGTAAAGCTAGTTTATAAAAAAGAAATTTCTCTGGAGCAGATGCTTCTCCTTACAAGCAGAGCCTCCATACGAGCTCCTGATCATAACTGGCTAATAATTAGCTTTGGAACCAATGCAATTAAGCTAAATATTTTGGTTAAGTTCAGGTCAAGAAAAAGCACTCTCAGTGCTGCCGCGGCTTTCACGGAATCTCCTCTGATCTACAGTATGAGCACTTGAATGCTACCAAGTTACAACAGCAAAAATAGAAATTGTAGTGTTTTCATTCATTACAGTCTGATCCAAGAGGGAGAAAAATAATGCATGTTCTTTAAAGATAGAACTGGTGTTATATTTTTAGTTTAGAACAATAAATGAAAATTATTTTGTAAAGGGATAGAAAAAATGTTTGTGGAAAATGTCATTATAAATATTTAATTACTTTTTAAAAATTACCTTTTGTTTATTCAAAATACCATTTTGAGGTAAATAGCCAGGAAGAAGGTCGATCAGTGCTCCTTTCCCTGTCTCCAAGGCACTGCGAGCCACCTGCATGATCTTGCAGATATTTCTGCCATCACAACAAATTCAGGCTGGCTTGTGGTTTCGCCAACTGCAGAAATTCCAAGTCTCATATATTTCCTTCTGCGCTGAAGATCTGTATCTGTCAGTGCCCTGAAGGTTACATTTCCCCCACTTGTACATCCCAAATCATAGTTCTTATCCTCCTGCCTTTCTAACTTGTTTGTATTAAAACTAACCACGCACATTACAGGATATCTGGTTGGCTGTAATATTCTACAAATAACTGTCTGGAAGGAGTTCTGTACACATTTGTTTTGCCACCTGAAGTTGATGAAAGGAAAGGATGAAAACACATCAGTAGCTGCTGAGCCACTGAATTTGAACTAGAAAATATTGAAGCTGGGGCAGGCAAGGAAAAGTCCAAGTCTTGGTACTGCACAGCAAATGCCAGAGGTTCTAGGAACATTACTTGGTTTTCTTTCACATCGCTAAGATGGAAAAATCTCTCAGTACTAAAATGATCATAGAGAAAAATACATCAGCTTTACATCTACAGAGAACCATCATTATCTTTGGTAGATTACCACCAATAATCTCCACCCAAAAAATATATAAAATGTGTGAAAGCAGCTGAAATGTACAGACTCACTAAAATTAACAGCTATCAATTAAAATCAAGAAAAATAATATTTGTAATTTAACATATTACTAGCATTAGCGTAAATATTATGCCTGTCATTCATACTTCTTTATTTTCAATCAGACACTGCAGGAGCTGAAAATAAATGTTATCAGGAAGCCACAATGGAATATCATTGAGCAGCTTCTGAATCAAAACACGCATAGTAGTTCATGAGAAACATACACAGTGATTAAACTGACTCCATTATCTTCCACCTGGTACATCAACCATGCAGTGAGTCATATTAAATATTAAGGAAAAAACTTTATAAAAATTCCAATAATTTTTGTACAGACAGCCACCTCCCCATATCCCCCCTTTGACAGGATTTGCAATCTACTCCACAAGAGGGCAACCAAATTCCACTATAAAATGAATAAATGAAGCTGTAGAATTTAAAGTTACCATTCATTTCTAGCCAAAAGTCAGAATTCCACTCCATTCTAAAATGACTGGGAAAAGAAGCTCCAAGCATATAATTTGGAAAGGGGAAAATACCCAACCTCCAACTCTCTTTCCTTATGAACAGCGGTGCTAGCAGTGGTACCCATCTGGGAAAAGGAGTGCTTAAAGAAACAAACCACTTTTCTTTTTATGGGATTTTCTTCTCTTCAGATACAACAAATACCCTAGAATCTTGGGCATCAGCTAAAGCATTTCACTTTACTTAGAATAAGGCCACCACAGACTGGAACGTAAGCAGGTAATTCCAAGTGGCTATGAGATATGCAATTTGTGCTGCAGTGAGGAGATGACTGACGAGGAAATCTCTGTGACAGTTCAGATCAGTGCAACTGTCCTGTCACCCTGAGTCGAGGTCCAGTGTGATTTCCTGCACCAAGAGTGTACTGTCACCATGCTGGATATCTGGAAAGTGCCAGGGCATGCTTTCTCACTGCTCCTCTAAATTGCTCTAAAAATGTTGAACTTTGAGCTGTAGATCACTGAGGATTTGTAGTTCTTTTTTTCTCTTTTTTAATTTTGAATATACAGTCTGCTAACATTAACGCAACTGGAGAGAAGCAGAGCAGCAGAGCTGCAAAGTACTTACTGTTCCGGACTGGAAATGGAAGTCCTTCGTCCTTCCACAGCAATGTTGCTCTTGGGTCTCTTAACAACATGAGGTCTTGGAGGACGAACCTATTGCATACACATACACAGACACACTTCATCAGATACTTCAAGAGCTGGTCATGCAACAGATATAAATGGCAACATATGCATAATTACCATCATCTTAAAGGTATCTTACACTCACAGTCAGTTTTAACTTTTATGCTTCAACAATGTTACAAATCCATTGGTTTGGATGTAAACTACGCAGTCCCACAATTTGCTAAAGGGCAAAAACCCACGTTTTGAGTTGCAAACGACATTATATGCTTGCTACTGACCATTAGCCAGTCAGTGAAAATTTGCTCAACTGTCCTGTTTAGAACAGGGCAATTTTCTGATAAACAGGTTTTCTAAATGTAAGCTTCATCTGAAAGATGAGTTGACAGAGTGAAACTGGAAAGGCCTGCATTGCACACTATATGGATATTGTTGTTCAGTTCTGACATCCTAATCCTTTTGTGCGCCTGTTCATAGGAAGCCAGCTCCTCAAGTGAATAATTCTGTAAAAGAGAGCACTGAAAAAAACTGTACTTAAGAGTAAATATTGTAAATGAAAAAATACTATTTTTCTTAACAAATATGGTTCTTTCCGGTAGCTGATCAGAACACCTTCACAGACACATTATCACTGACATCACTGAGGTTATATTAGTGTATCTTTTGTTGTCTGCAATAACACTCAAAGGTTTTCTGTGGAAGGTGATGTTGCTGCCAGCTGAATTGCACATAACATCTCCATTATCTTCTGATGTTCAGAAATCAAGTTGAATTTACCCACGTGAACTCCATAAGCAAACAAGCTAAACTTCAAGGAAAGGAATAAGCACAGCTGATCACTAAATGGGCAAAATTTACACACGTGCCTACCTATACTAATGAGTAATCCTGTTGGTGAATTTATTCCTCTGAGCCAAATGCAGGAATGAAAAATTGCAGGACCAGGGTGTACAGCCAACTTCCCACTTTTTTGCTTTTTTTTTTTTTTTTTCCTTTAAAGAAGTACCCAACCTGGAATGCAGTCTGACTTGCTGGTTCTGCTGAATGTTAACCAACAGGAATCTCCAAAGCCCTCAACAAGGTAAGGAACACAACTCAACTTCTGCCCTCTTAGGCCTGTGACCTCTTTAACAGCCAAATATAAAAGGTGTTACAGGCCTACAATCCAAGTACCCTTCAGATGACTGATGAACTTGTTTGCAATGGCAGCACTGGTTGTGCCCCCATCTCTGAGCTTTTTGGTTTTGTTTGTTTTCGTTTGCTCGGTTGGGTTTTGTTGTTTGGTTTTTTTTTTTAATGCTTTTAAGAACATTTAGTTCAGGTTCTCTTGACAGGAAAAAGCTGCTAAGCTGTGAGCACTGTTTCTATGCTGCACAATGGCATGCAGAACTCAACAGCAAGATCATTGTATTGAATTTTCATTTCAAAGAAAAAGGTGTAGAGCAGATATGATGAAGAAATCCAGAGATGTATTGCCACAGTTTCTCAGGAAAAAGAGTTTATACAAAGGTCAGATGTTAAGGTCTTGAAGATCTGTCCCCACACAAGGCCTTTCCTCTCTTCAATAAAGACAGCTTAAGAACGTGAATTTATGGAAGGATTAAGTTTGTGGCAACTTCAACTGAACTTGCAACGTGGTGAAACATGGGGAAAAGAACAACAGAGCTAATTAGACGAGCTGAGCTGTCAGAGTGCGGCTGAATGGCTCGGTGCCAACAAACAAAAGGAATGGGCTGGCAATCAGCAGGATCGATGAGGAATACTGCTTCATTAGGGCTGATAAAACAGAGAGAGTGAGCAAGAGAAAGAGTGTGCAAGGGTGGGGGGGAGAGAAGCAAGACGAACTGGATGGAGGGGGAGAACAAGGAGGAGAAAAAAAGAGGAAGAAAGAAACTTGTTTAATTAAATTTAAGCTGAAATATGGTGTGTAACACTGGCTTGTCATCATGCTGTGAACACTTTCACCTTTCGGTTGATATCCTGGGGGAGCAATTGTGATGAGCAAAAGAGATGAGAATTTTGGATGGCTCCAGGGGGTCACCAGACCAGTAAAGCATAGGGTGACATGCTAAGTAGGATTTAGAGTATTGTTCATGAGGGACTGCTAGGAAAAATCAGGAATCGAGCCAATTCCTCTCTGGATTTTTAGCCAAATAGGCAGGGTTAAATGCATATCAAATGCAAAGGTAGGAAAGAAATCCAATTACATGAGCACAGGGACTAGAGAATAAAGGTAAATATTCAGTACAGGATTAAATGTGCTTATTACTGTCCCTATCAACTTTATGAATAATTATCATATTACAACTTTTGCTAATTGAATGAAGTTTCCAATCAGCTCCTATTAATTCTAACAGATCTCTATTAATTACAAACAATCACCCTCTCACAACATCACTACAATTCATTTCCAAAACAACAGAATGTAAAAAACATATCTGTTCTGCTTCTTTAACCTTCTTTGGTTTGTGTTTTTGTTCTCACTATTAGTAATGACTCACACTGCAAGGACTAATTCCCACAAATTCCTTCTTGTAACAGATACAGCCTGAAAACAACTTCTCAGCAATTCTGCCATTATGTTGACTTGGTCGGAGGAGCAGAGAGAGCTGGCCTCTCATTCAGGCCTTCCTGTAAAAGGTCAGGATGAATTACTTGCTGATACCCACCTCTGCAATATATGCCAATATTCTAAGAGGGAAAAATCAGCCTGCACAAAAGAATATTTACACACAAAAAATGTGTTTCATCTATTAAAAGCCAAATAACAGTTCAGAACAACAACAAATTTACATACATTTGGTAGAAGCATAGTTTTGGGAGCTATTATAATAATCTACATTTATCCTGAATTTCCTCTTGACAACTGACGAATTTCTGTTCCACTTACTGACACAGCAAGATGAATGCAACAGGAGCTTTTATTACATTTCCAACCTTTTATCAATGACATTGGGAGCAAAGATAGTTGACACAAACACATCATAGCGAGGACTATTAACACACTACAATAACATTAAACAGTCTTAGCAAGACTTTCATGTAATAAATTACTCAATCTGAACAATACTGCTCAGCAACCTCAGTACAGAGAAACTGCAGTGAGCCCTCATGGGGCTTCCCCTGCCAAGCACAAAGCAAGAGGACCAAGAAGCAGTATGGGAACCCCTTTGTACCACGGAAAGTTTGTTCCCAGTGTAACGAATCCAGGAGGGCCTGCCGTACAGGTTATGTTCCAGAGAACACACACAAGCACAGTCAATGCTACCTTTTAAACACAGAAAACAGAAATCTTCAGTGCACAAATCCATAACAGTGACTGTTAAGCTGAACACCCAGAGTTAAAAGAGAGGGGAAAAGAAAAACATGCTACTGAAATGTAACATAGGAACATGCATATCAAAGATCAAAAGTTCACACACACCCAGGTGCACTTGTTAACCAGTTGCCTGCTCATCCAAAACTGCACATTTGTAACAAGTTTTAGCAAGATTAGATTTGAAAACTTGCATCTGTTTTTCTTACACACCTTCCTGTTAAGGAAGCAAGGAGTAAGGTCTTTCTGTTTATTGGTGAAATTACATTCATAAAGCAGAAGGCCTGAATAGAAACAAATATCTTTCAAGACTGCTGCAAAAACAACACCCCTCTAAACTGATGTCACTTTCCTGTATGAAGAAGTCACTGAAACAGACCCAGTACAGTTTCCATCCTCAGGGGCATCTGGTATAGTTTACATTTAATAATCAGACTGCAGTAGAGCTTTGAATGAAAAATGCTTAGATAAGGTATCCCATCCTAACACAGGAGTTACACTGAGAGCAATTTCCGTGCAGTTCTTCTGAAGAAGACTCATTTCTTAGGCCAACGTTTTTCATTCCAGGTAATGTTACATGAACATGAAGTATAGATGTATATCATCCATAATATGGTATTAATATTCCACTGTCCAAATAGAGACTTTGCTTTTTTATATATATTCACTCATCTATTCCATGGTGAAAAATAAAGTGTCTCAAATTAATTTAAAGCAGAACTTGTTGAATCTCTTCAGACTTCTGCTTCCTTTTGTATTTTAGTTTAGTGCAAGTCTTCAAAAACTCACTGGCTAAAAACTTATCCCAGCCTAGCAAGACTTTTTGTTCAAGAAATCACCACAAAAGTAAAACAAATATTGCAATAGCAGCATCAGTTACCTGCAGAACTGACTGAAAGCTGCAGAACTCGTCAAAGAAAAGCAGAATAAATGCAGATCCCAGGGCTGTGCCGCAGCAGAGAAGAAGGGAGTTTAGGTGCATAATTCACACATTGCTTGTTTGACAACCCAAACTACCAAGGTTTAGTAATACTACTAGTAGAGCAATTCAGGCAGTGTTAAGCTGTGGCAGTGAAACAAAACTCCCAGCTACTCACGGGCCTAGTTGAACGCTGTATCTTTGGAGGCGGTGGCCGAGGCGGACGGAGTCTTTGCTGCTGTATCAAAGTGGAAACTTAAGTCATAGGTAAATTAAATAGTCACTACATGAAAACACCTCTTATTTTGTGGCAAAAGCAGTTGGAGTGGATGACATGATTTATCTAACTTCATACTCACTGTACAACATGCAATCATTTTCAAAACAGAGATATCTCCTGACCTTCAAAGTGCCGCATCAGAAAAGGAAGCTATAGATACTGACATTGGTTGTGCTAAACTAAAGGTAGTACAATCAACACTCCATGCCAGATCATCCAAAATTCACCTGAGACAACACAGATGCTTAAGAAGGATTCTAAGCTACAGGTCCACGTGTTCTACGGACAAATGAAAAGAATGCTGCAAAGCAGGATTTTCAAAATAGCTTACATTAAAATCCCAAGAGAGATTTTAGTGCTTACACTCTACAGGCCTCAAACCAGCAAAGACATTTAAAAGCATGAGGGAACACTGTAGGTCAATTAAACCTCTCATAAACAGATGAACACATGGTTACGTACTGTAGTGGACCGAGGTTTAAATGAATTGCCTACAGCAAAAGAGTGCACTGTTATAGTAAAGAAAGCAAATCCCTGCATCACCAACAGTTCTAGCAAAGGCAGGAGCAGTGGTGCTTATTTTGGTCTCTCGCTTTTAAAATTAGCAGTTGGCCAACTTACTGCTTTGTAACTGTGCTGGAGCTATTCCAATTGAGCTGCTTTTGACTGAGCCAGCAGCATGAGTCTCCTCACACAGATGGTATCTTAAGGTATGCTCTGTTAGACAAGGAGCCCACTGATAATTAATGAGATTCTAAATAAAATCATCCTAAAGTACAACTTTGATATTGAGAACAAAATCAAAGTTAATGCCTTTTCTGCAGTATCTTCAATACACATATTAGTACTGAAAGTGAAAAGTAGAGCCTGCAGTGAGGAGTGGCAGGAACTCCTTCAAATGCCTGCTCCAGCAGACAACAGGCCGTGCTGCTGCCCGCAGCACATGGCACTGCATCCTGCGGACAAAAGCCTGTCAACCCAACAGAGGGAACAGCAACTGGCAGCAGGAGTTGGGCTCTTCAGACAGAAAAAGAAAGCTTACACAAATTACTGAATTTCTCTCAAAAAAAGATTCCAGATTCATATTTCAGCAGTTTTTAACTTCTTATTAGCATAGTCTTTATTCCAAAGTGACACACATTCTCATTCTGCTACCCTCGTGCTGTGTCACAGCCTACTCTTTTTCAGACCATTTTCATGCTCTTCTTGCATCTCATCACGCTTTCCCATTAACTTACAATTTGCACCAATGGGTTTATTCAGCCTTACTCATGTGCCAGGAGGAGTGCCAGATTGTACACATTCACTCAGCTCAGATTTTTGAGGTGGGCGGGGAAAAAATGGCACTTGTCATGGAGAGCTGAGGCCAAAATCTTTCCATGTGATAGCTTCCAACTATATATTCCAAGAAAGTAAGCACCAAATCAAAGGAAAATGGAGAGAAACGACCTGCTGGTGAGCTGAGGTGGTTACTGTTAGCCCTTCTGCCTAGTTTTTCTTCGCATCTCTTATTATGCAATTCCATCACAGACGTTGAGTTGTAGCACTGAGTATTTCCCCACTTTACCTGCTCAGGTTGAGAGCATAATCTTAAAGTATATTTAACTCTTGTTATGTGACATACCATACTTATTTTCCATTCTGTTTCAGAATCACAATGAAACAATTGAAAAAATTTGAAATTTGCACTTTTCTAGTGATGTTAAAGGCACTCACTTATGACACAGCTACTTAGACAAACTATTTGATGAAGCAGGAAAACAATACGCTATTATTCTTTCTTTCTTTTTCTTTTTTTCTCCCTAATGCCTTCTCTATGTATGCTTCAGTTTGCTTTTTTTCACTTTAGTTACCTGAAAATTATGAACATTTCTGCATCACAGAATTCTCTTAGGTGGGATTTTCAAGTAACCTCCCAGCTAGCAGTGTCCTGAGCACCACTTATTTTCCATGACTTTTAAAATTCTGGACAAAAATGTTTTGATTGATGTAAGAATTGAAAGTCATCACTTCATATTGTACCAAGAAGTTGATATTATTTCTTCAGTATTAGTTCATATCACTGAACAAATCTGATCGGTTTCTCCCTCCATGGCAAAAAACAGGGTAACTTTTCAGGAAGCACTGCAAGACTGCAGCATCAACAGTATTAACTGATAAAGCAGTGGCAGTATTATCAAAGTTTGTGAAAAGAAGTGTGACAAAGGCACAAAAGGACAGACAGACAATGCAGTGATGAGGACTGCCCTGTAGAGAGACAGCCAATGCATTGATTATAGGCACTGCAGGGACACGTACAGCTCAATTTTGCTTCCCCCCCCCACCCCCCCCCAGACATAGAAAGAAAAATATGTCTGAGGAAGCGTGTGAGAGGGTTCCTTAATTACCTACTACATAAGTTGTTAGACAGTAAAGAGAGTAAAGATCAGAAAGTGACAATTCTGTTACAAGAGCCAGCATGCTGCAAGTCGTCATGGCGGAGTACTGGGAAAAGTTTACAGTTAGCAATACCTTCACCTTGCATGACCCTCACTGGCCACAGTACAGCCACTGCACCAAGTCTTGCACTTATCACAGCACATACTAATTTTTGAAACATTAAAGAGTTCCGAGAAGAACAATAAGACAAATCTCCACACCAAGAGCAGTGTGTTCTTTCAATAACAGAGGGACAGGGAGACAGCACAGCTTAAACAACCAGTGGTCTGAAGCACTGAAAAGAGCATAGGCAAAGGGCAGGGAGGAGTCGCTGAGATGGAGGCCCACCAAGAGGTAACAGTTATTTGTCCTTTGCCAGAGCTCCACTGTTAATGTTGATGTAAATATGTGTCACCAAAATGGGACAAGCAAGTATATTTGAATTATACGAAGACCATATTTACTGGAAAAGCCACTGATTAGAAGTTAATTTGTTAATGCAGCAAAACACTCCGATTCTGAAAGGTCAGTAGGGGAAGCTGTGTTGGATTATCAACTTAATTACCTGCGCTGTAAGGATGAAACAGCCCAGAGCTACATTGCTAAAAGCTGCTAAATTGCTATCCTAGGTATGTCCCTAAATATGTATACTATAGTGGTTTTTTTCTTCAAAGAGGAGAAATGTCTAAATTAGCACTTTCTTACCAGTAGCTGTTTACCAGCATACTTTTTTACTCTAGATATTTCCTTAATTGTTTTACTCTAAATACTTCTGAAGCAACAAGACAAAGAAAATTTGCAGGAAGCCAATTTTATGACTGCAGATATGGCACTGTTTTCTAATTACAAGACAAGCAATTTTAAACTGTGAGATGCTGGAGGAAGAAAAAAATCTTACATTCACTTTTACACTGTAAAAATACTATTTAAAAAGTATACATACCACAGATCATAAAGTAGCTATTATATATCCAAGAAACTTTCACAATACAGCAATTCAGGTTTTTTTATACTAGAGAAAACATTACAAAAAGATCATTTCTGTACTGTGAAGTAAGGGTTCGGTTGAGATGGTGGCATTCAAAACAGAGCCTTTATCAGTAAATTAGAGGTGCTATGTCACATGCAGCAACAAGTGCAACTGGAAATAAAGGCATAAAGGAAACCCAACTAGACGAAAGCTGGTATGTCAGCTCATACAGAAGGAAGTGTTTCTCATTCTCAAGTTAGTAGTGAGGCGTGTTTCCAACCATTTCCAAAGCAAAGCTTTTCTCCACAGACAACTTAATTTCTTCAGAAATTCAGGGCTGATTTACAAACTGTTCGTATGTCTTAAAGACAATGAGACGAGATAAAGATGCACTGTCCTGAATGTACCCAAGCTCAAATACATCATGCTGCAAAGGATTTGGATCACTGGCTTTGGAAAAATATGCTGAACCTCAACTCAACATTCAATGGAGAAAAAAAAAGGGGGGGGAAGGGGGCAGGGAGATACAATAACAACACTGAAAATGTATGGTGCCTAAAAAGATTCAGTACAGAAAGCAGATGGAATCTATGAAGCAGCTGTTTTATTACCCATTCAGATCCTGCACAGCACATACACTACTTTTTACATACTCCCATATGCACAGCTCACAAACTGGTGTGACAAGAACAGTGTATGCTTTACAACATATATTTTTGATTTACACTCTAAAATACTTCAAACAGAAATCTGCTGGGTCCTGTGGTTAAAAAAAAATCCTCCATGTCTTAGGAGATGTCTCATTCTTTGAACTGTATTTGTAGCTTGGGAAGGTAGCACAAATCTGGCAAAAAACCATGGCAATGCCTATAGATATGTTCAATGTTCAAGTTCAATGCCAAGAACTTATGGAGGGGAAGAGAATCTGTCACAACTAAACCCTTTGATTAGTCTAATGAGAAAACAAGGATGATCCCCTTACCTTTCTAGGCAGGAATCTTCCATTACATAATATAAAAGCATACAATCAAAGAAGGAAGCGAAAGGAGCCTATAAGCTCATGGTTTCCCCCAAGAAAGGAGAACAAAGAACCTTCTATCAGGCATCTAAGTCACACCCAAATTAACACCCAGAAAACAGCAAACCCCATGGACTCCACATCACACAACACACCTCAGCCTGAAAGCAGTGTAACTTTCATTTGTGCAGAAATCCCAACCTGTAGTTATACTATGGAATGATGAGAGGACCAAAAAGCAAACTCCCCAGACATACTGAACAGCACTGCACCCATTCCGTATTGCCAGTAAAACAGCAAGGAGGTTTTTCAGAACTATTCACAGAGATAAAATAGGGAAGGGTTCAGAGAGAGAGAGTATCTCACTGAGCAGACTTTCAAATTTCCAAAGTACTTGTCCCAAAATTAAGTGTGATTTGCAATGGCTTCTTTTCATTCTATTTCTCAACATACGTCGATGGAGGCACACACTGCAAAAAAAAATCCCAGGCCTTAGGAATACATTTATCCCTGTGTATTAAAGTCTATCCATCTACTATCTCAGCAGAGTTT